GGGCCCAAACTTTATCGACTACAGTCTTATTCGACTTCAAAGAATGTCTGCTAGTATTCTGCCATATTAAATGCCTTTGAGTGCGCATTTATCCAGAAAGTTCTTCGCTTTCCAATTTCAGGTTTGCCGATGAGATTGCGGCAGTCAACAGGCAGTTTCCGGCTCCTCCATTCAAGTTTCTGGAACCAAGGTTAGTGTTATGCTCTGCCTAAATTGAACAAAAAGGCAGCTCACTTCTGAAACTTCAGCTGTGGTTGTAAAGAGTTGCCATATTGCAATACTAAATACTGCACATTTTCGTATTACTGAAAAACTTCTTGTATTATGGTGTTATGGTCTCTCAGAGTTGTTGCCTTGGGTGGATGCTAGCATTTCTAAAGCTTTACTTGACATAGCTTCCTCATATTCTAAAGATTATTACTTCCCATGATGTATCTAAACTAGCTGTATATTTTAACGTGCTTAACCGAAATAAAACGTGCGACACAATAATAACTCGCCTCCGAGAGCTCAGCCTGGATATTTGAACTAGTGTGTCATGTTTTGCTTTCTGTTACAACATGTTTTGTTTTCTTTTACAACTTGTTTGCAACTTATAACAGCTTCTCGTCTAGACTTTAAAAGAATTTACTTATTCTATTGCACTGATTAACATTTAGCTTCGTCCTGCTACTAGTATACTAAGAAATCATAGCAAAACTACTACTTAACGCTAAGTGTGTTTTCGTTATTTCTTCTAACCCCAAAGCCTGAGGCTAGAATTTCCCGAGGCTGTTGCAATGCTTCGTGAAGCTGGAGTTGAAATGGACGACGAGGACGACTTGAGCACTCCGAATGAGAAGCTGCTGGGACGGCTGGTCAAGGCAAAAGTAGGTGCTGTTTCGTGGTGTGTCGTAGGCATTCACGTTTTTGTGGTTTGCTTTCTGTAAGCATCTGTAGTGCTGTCAGTTTTTCATCTTGAAAATTGCTCAGCACTCACGAAAACGGGAATAGGGGATGCTTGTTTAAAGTGTATAGGTGATGTTACATTGCCAGTGTGCCTTTGATAATCTTGACAAATACACCTTTCCCATTTAAATAAAAATTTCATATGAAAGTCGGCATTAGCCCTGTTTGTTCCTGTTACTTGCTACTGTCCTTGCTTTAATTTGATATAATTAAAGAGCCTGTGTATCAGAAAATGTATTGTCAATGCTTGCGTTAGTTACATTGTTCGTGAGCAAAAAAAGCCAGTGTTGTTCATGAGGCATTGAGTGGAAAACCCCGATGGATGCAAAGAATAAAGATCAGGGCTCGTGCCAGAATTGAACCCAAGCATTCTGCGTGGCACCTGACTGGTCTACACCTCGGAGCCACACCAGTGCTTGAAACTGCTTTGGAAAAATGCCGTGTACATGTGTCATGTCAGACGACGGTAACTGCGTTGACAGACTTAATATTTTGTGGCGGAAGCATAGAATCACACTAGGTGTCACATCACACGACGTGAACTGTATCACGACTGAAAAAGACTATAAACTTTTCATGAAGTGCCATGGTGCACCTGTGAAGCCTGGCGACTGGTCGCTTCTGTGGAGGGACAGCACTGCCACCAGTTTTCTCTAAGTTAAAGCAAAGTGCTTAGCTGAACAACATTCCAGAATATGGGTTTCAGACTTAGGTGCGACCATTAGACCCTTCCTTCCTCCTACTACAGTGTCTGTGAGAGCCATCTGTCATTTCGCTACAAGAAACGCAATTTGATTTGATTACCCGGTTTCGCAGAAAGCTGTAACTGAGTAGCCTTACAGAGAGTCAATATCGAGAATAATGCTTCATTTGTTCGCCTATGGTTGGGTGCTTAACATGTCCCACTTCAAGGTCACAGCTTTCAGTCACGACACTCATCAATTGTAGGGGTGGCATCATCATACCAATGTCATTCTGTGATAGATGAACGTTATTGGAACTTAAAAGTAGCCGCTATTTTTGAACGAAGTGCTCACAAATTACAATTGATCCTAGCTTCTATGTACACGGCAAGCGAGTTATACCCATGAACATGAAGCAGCTATGTCGCTTGATTTAGGGCTTATCATTGCAACTGTAGTGAAGAACTTTTGTCGTGTTCGTTCCTGTTTCAACATTGCCAGTTTAAAAAAAAAAAAGAAACGTCCTTGAAAAGTGATTGACTGAAAGGGAGCATCCAAGTTTACGTGTCTAGGTCGTCCCATAAGATTTGCGCTCATTCTCTTTTAAGTATAGTTTCAACATAGTGGTTCATAAAAATTACTGGGTGGTACGCACATTTGAGATCTACCGCAAATGGAACGTTTTACCTGTTATGAATGGCGGGGCGTGCATACACCGACACAAACATGGCACCTGTGGTGTCATGACTTCTTTCTATTTTACGTGTTTGCATGCCCAGTCTTCTTTTATTTTAATGAACCAACTAGCTAAGCTCTTTTATAATATAAGCTTAATATTATTTCTAGTACTCCAGGCCCCTTTCAATTTTTTCCTGCTTATCTGATCAGCGACACTTCTTAGGCTTCTATAACTGCTATCGGTGTCTGTGGTGTATTGACTCTTGTGTCTGTGTTTTTCCGCTGTCTTTTAGAGTGAATACTTACCAACTAGCTCACTCAGCTCTTTGTTGTTCTAAAACATTTTCAATTGGTTTGAGCAAATGTTCAAGCACTTCAAATATTTGAACGAATATCGCAATATTTGAATTTAGGTTATCGGAAGTTTCGAAGTATTCAAAATGAACGAATAGGTGTATACTTATTAGTCCACATGTAACCCTCTGCAAAGGTGGTTTCACTGCAGTGGAGGTGCGCTGTACCGTGAATACACCGGTCCAGGGGGAATTCGCACAACCACAAAGCTCCGCTTCAAGGTTAAATGAACATATTAGCCTCACCTCAATTCATCATTTTTCAAAGTTAATAGCTTGATATACGAGCTAATATGCCTTGAATAAAGTAAAATGTGAAACAACATATTTTACAGGTTATTACTTGCATTCTACGAAAAGGAAGGCCCTGCTATTATGTGATGTTGCTTCCACTTTCTTTGAATAAAAAAAAAAAATGAGATTCACACATGCCTTACTTCAATAAAAAATATATATAGTTTAGTTAAATTATGGGAAATACACCCGCTTTTTTAATAACATGTGATATATCCTATCCAAATTAAATTCAAAATTATTCAACCAAACTACTATTCAACCTTACATTATTATTTACACAAGCCTAATCATTACGTTCGTCTACCCACTTTAAGATCGGCACTGAAAAGTGACCTTTGAACTTGTATTTCTGCGTTCTTACAGTACGACACAGATTTCTACATCCTGGATAAGTACCCGCTCAAAGTGAGGCCATTCTACACCATGCCTGACCCTCATGACTCGGTATGTTTCATTCGTATGTACCGCCTATCATTTGTACAGCTGTAAACTGATCTCATGCTGAAAAAATTCACTACATTGTAGTGAGAGAATTGCAATCTACGTACACACTTGATTTCTGGTCATAATACTAGATACATTTGTATTTTGCATGGTTGGTAGCACCAGTAAGGAGCAATTAACATTTACAGTCACACATTGCGTATCTTGATAAAAACAAGACTGCAAAATTCTCATATACATAAATAAAATGTGCATTTAGATTTTTTTATTTGCAATTGCCTTAAATTTTATTTGCAATTTAATTTTGTTTGTTACAGCCATGTTTAATCATTAGAATGGAACTGCAACAATTGACTCTGCTTAAGGACCCTTAAAGCTATGTTGATTGCACCACAACCTTTGAATTGGCAGTTTACATTTGTTAATGAATTTGGTTGGAATCGTTGCTGGCATGGCCTATTTCAACACGTTTTACTCTGATTACAGAAAGTGTCAAACTCGTATGACATGTTCATGCGTGGGGAAGAGATTCTGTCTGGCGCCCAGCGAATTCACGATCCAGATTTTCTTACAGAAAGAGCCAAAGAACATGGAGTTGGTTAGTAGCCACTTATGCATATTTTCTCGTTGTGTATGTTTGAAAGTGTGTGAAGACTTGCATATTTCTTGGGTTGTTTTGCGCAGAAGTTGACAGAAGCATTATAAATGTTTACAGTCATCTGTTTTGTGTGTTTCTTTTTATAAATGGGAGCTCCAGAGTGTGACAGAGTAATGCAATGGTTCATTGCGCTACATCCTTCTTGCTCGGGCCCATTTGTTTCAAAATGCCGGCATGAGTTACCCTTTCACGAGATTTTAATCTCTCATAGTACTATGCAATGTACAAATCATTTCAAAAATAACATGCTGTCCTCATTTCTTACTGCTGTAGATATCAGCAAAATCAAGGCCTACATAGACTCCTTCCGGTATGGTGCACCACCACACGCAGGTGGTGGAATAGGTGGGTGACTGTTCGACATACAATTTTTTTTTGTGGAGGAGACAATATTTTTATTTTCTTGTTATAGGCTAAACCCAATAATGGTTCACAACATGTATAATTTTTTCTTGATTTATTTTATACATGATGGTGCTGTATAAAAACAGTGCTCGACCTACGTCTTCTAACGTTTTTGGTGTACTTCAGATGTAACAGCATTTTCTCAGCTCTGATATTTGGTGCATTTGATGCTCATTAAATCAGAGAAACGCTGTCGCACATTCTTTTAAATGTAGTTTCTTCTAGTGCATGTTGCGACCCTCAAATAACAGACACCATTTATGATCCGTACCACGGTCTTGAACGTTATGGATTTGTTTCTTACCTTGCAGGCCTTGAACGAGTTACGATGCTGTACTTGGGCCTGGACAATATCAGGAAAACGTCGATGTTCCCACGTGACCCCAAGAGGCTGACTCCATAAAGGCTTTGCTCAAGAGGGCCTCTATTAAAGATCACCCTGCAGTTTTAACGTTACTGCATGTGTATACACAGATTACTGACAACTCTTGAAGCAACAGTCAAAAGTTGCACTGAAAATGAAAGTAGACCACGAACACTCCAATTATTTCATTTATTGAACGGTCCATTGGTTACACTTTTCTGAGTACAGGAAATGTTTCCAACAACTAGTCAACAGTTTGATCAGGCCCTTACTGACATTTTAAGTACTGAGTTACCAACATTTTATTAATGTTTGAAGAGCAGCAATTAACAGTGCTTATTGTACTGCAGCGACGCTCAAAACATTATTATACTTTTCAAAAATAAGAGTGTTCTCGCCTTTGACTCACTGGTGCAAACAAGCAATGCGTGAGAAATGCAGAAGAGAGCCGTGGACACTATTACACAACAATGATAGTCTTAACACGCGAACAGGCAGTTATGCAAAATTTCAGGCACAGGCCAGTATAGCGCTTTCATGCAAGCTCAAAACAGTAAAGAGAGCTTTTGCACATGCGTTAATACTAACAAAACAAGACGGGTGCAACTGGAAAAAGGTGCGGCACAGTACTAGCGCATTCCCAGCCATGCAGAGAAGCCTGCTGTAGCAACAAATATACTGAAGCTAGCTAAATGATTCCATTAGATAACATGAACATTTTACTTAAATGCCTTTCAACAGTTCCTGACATCATTACGTCGAGCTGCCTAAAAGGCGTCCTGAATGCGTGAATCTTCCGCACAGACACAATACTCCTAGACTCGGGCGTATGATAATGCAAGCCCAAATGGATGATGTTCCAACATGGTAAGTGCATATGCAAAATATGTGCCGGTCTTGACTATTATCTTAACTACAACAAGCACAACAGTGTAGGCTAGAATAGGAAGATCGAAACAGGTTTATACATGTGTGCAATACTTGAGGGCCTGTGTTTGCTGGCACAATCGGCACACAACAGCTGAGTGGAAACAAAACATGCACGTGGAAACATGCTGGCGAGTAGGTGCTCCAAAATACTAGGTGCAAACAGCTCTAGGTTAACAGTCAACTACTCTATAAACTCTGTAACTAGAAACAAGCTCTTGTAACAGCAATGCTGATTTCAAAAAAAAAAACACCGGCACCGAGACCTACTCGGGTATGATGTACTATAGCACTACCGCTGCTCACACACACTCGGTGCTGCACCACTGGCTGATCAGAAACTTAGGTTCACCTACACAAAAGCTACTGCACATCAGTAAAGAATCTCATAAAGTGCTCTCTGAACAATGAATGTACACCTATGAAAATGATGTAGAGGCAGCAATGATATGTTTGGTAAGAAGCATAGCACAGCAGCAGTGCCAAAGGTCTCTTCAGCCCTCATACGCAGCATTTCTTTTTTGCACTTTTTCATCATAAATTTATGCATGTGACCTTCTCTGAAAAAAGTTGGTAACTGTACATTTCTGTGCAATTAACTGTACATTCCTGTGCACAAAGTAAGCCTTGTTGTCACTGAAGCATTTGAGCAAGCTGGCACATATCTTAAAGCATAGCTTTGTATGGAGGCCGTGAGAAAGAAATAAAAGCACATAAAAGACATTCGAAAGAAACACTTATTTTCACAAACACAATATAAATACATGCATTCCCAGGTCTCAACATGACCTACTCATAACTTGCAGCTGCTCCTTATTTGAAATAATATTCTTGGCTGGTTTACAATCTTATATAGTACGAGCCAACAAACACGTCAGCTGTACAACCAACCCAGGTGAACGCAAGTGCCCAGGGTTTCTCTACTCTGTACAGTGCCGTGAAGCTAGAAATCATAACTTTCATAACGAATACAGTTTTGACAAAGCACCAGCTCCATCGGCTCACCAGGTGCTACGAGCAACAAAGTCACTAGGATACATCATCCGTAACATGCCTCGGTCCTGGAAGAACCTTTTTGCTCCCCAGTTTCCTCTTCTTCTCCTTTATCATGTTCTCAAACTCCAGTCTGAAACATGATGGTTGACGACAATCACTGTTTAAGCAAGGACGAAACGCAACCTGCCGCAGTCTTCGCATGCACTGATGGTAAAACCCAAGAGGAGCAACGACACAAATTTTTTTAATTTGTAGAAACTGCACTGCACACTTCGTGAATGCCAAAGTATGCAACTTGGTAAGAAGGAAGTTGGGAGAATGCTCATCAGGTATTTCAATAGGATGGTAAATTTGGACACGTATGAATGGAACGAATAAATTTGTCATGAACATCTGCAAGATTACATAATCATCTCAGTTTCAGGCACATTTTGGTTTAACTACTGCTTTCTATTCATCTGCTGCACCACGTGCCACATATCACTAGAATGGTCTTCCCAATGAAATTGCTTCATAATCAGTCGAATTATTTCACAAATGCCTGTGCTCACTTCTTGCTCAATGTGCCTTTTCTTTTTTATTGCATAACTGTTTCATTAGAGAATTCAGTGCTTTGTTGTGTTCTTTGGTTCAGATGCTGTACAGTATTGCGAGATTCGATTTTTTCCATTGTACTCCATTGCTCTCTAGTTTCCCTCTTGATGCCCGACAGGATCTGCAAGGTGTTTCCCACATAAAAACCAAATCAAGACGAACCAAATCGAAACACATCGTAACGAGCTCTGTTACAAAAGTGTCTGACCTTTGGTGGAAAAAAAAAAAACTGGCATAATTGGAGCATTGGAAACCTAATCCCCCTCAAAGTAGTCCCCTTGGGACTCCACACACTTCTCCCAGCGGTGCTGCCATTGTTGGAAGCATTCTGAGCTGGCCTCTTTATGAATGGAGTTTAGCTGAGCTGTCGTTCCAGCCATAATGTCCTTCCTTGTCTGAAATTGCTCTCCTTTCAATGTCCTCTTGAGTTTGGGAAATAGCGAAAAGTCACAGGGGGCCATATCAGGAGAGTAAGAAGCTTGTTGAACTACAGGCGTCTGACTTTTTGCCAAAAAAGTGTGAACCAAGTGTGAGGAATGTGCAGGGGCATTGTCGTGAAAGATGGACCAGTTTCCTGTTGACCTCACCTGAGGTCTCTTGTGCCACACAGCATGACGTAGGAAACAGACGACATCCCAGTAGTATTCTTCGGTGATTATTTGACCCTGTGGTGCGTACTCGTGGTGTACTACACCTTGGGAGTCAAAGAAAGCACTCAGCACCACTTCAATGTTGCTGCGCATTTGGCGGGCTTTTGGTCTTGGTGAAGTGTAATGCTTCCACTGTGGCGACTGGGATTTGGTTTCCTTGTCGGAATTCTGTTGCTTTCTTTATGAAGAACTTTGGTGGCTATGGATCCGCTGTATATTTTTTCCAGTGTGTTTATGTAGGGCTCGTCAACGCCCTGATTCTGTAGTGCCTGCATCACTGCTGATGTCTCGACAGAGTCAAACACCTTCTCATGATCTATGTACAGGCTATGTACAAGAGTTGGCTGTTTTCCACAGATTTTTTTATTACCTGATTGATATTATGAATATGGTCTATTGTAGAGTAGCCTGTACGAAATCTTTCTTTGTCTTTTGGTTGACTGAACTCTGATGTCACCTTAATTCTATTAGCTATTATTTTTGTAGATAGTTTGTAGAGAACAGACAGTAAGCTGAATGACCTGCAATTTTTCAAGCCCTTAACATCTCCTTTCCTACGGATTAAAATGATGTCGTCGTTCTTCCAAGATTCTGGTACTCTTCCCGTCAAGAGCTACTTTGTATATAAGGTTGCCAGTTCTTCCTAACACAATTTCTCCACGATCTTTCAGCACGTACATTGCTACCTAGTCCTCACCAGTGACTTTGCCTCTTTGCATTCCTTCTAGGGCTTTCCTTACTTCCCCTGTCGTTACTGGCAGGATGATGAAGTCCTCTGTGTTATTACTGCTCCTTACAATATCAACTTGGTTGTTTCGGCTTCTGTGCAGCTCTCTGTAGAACTCCCATGATTGTATAATAGTTAGTATCGTGTGTTGTGGAACACATTATACACACTAATGTAGAAGCAACAAGACATTGTAGTCATGACACAACAAACACAAAAGCATTTAGGTTAGGCTGGTAGAAGCAAAAGCATTAATTACCTCCAGGAAGAGGAGTGAAGCTCTCCTATCCTTCAAGGATACGCTCAGCATCGTATCTTTTGAGGGTTAGGGACAAAAACAACACAGTTAGTCTTGGAAACATACAGGGAAAGTAATGGTCAAGCAAATGCCAATGGCTACCTTATTCATACAAGGCTCCTTGGCTATCAACAATTGACTGATAAATATGAGAGTTACGCCTTAAAGCGAACATATGCAGAACTACAAGTGTCAGTACATAAACTATCGCTGCATGCAGACACTGATGTCGAAGATACTAATCACTACAAAATGTTAGGACACAAGCTTTAGCAGAATCATGACGAGCACCAAAGTTAATTACGCAAACTGAATAGAAAATTCAAAAGACAAGACAAACGTGTGATGACATGTCATAACAGTGATTCGCACTAAAATACCGATTTCCAACCCCTTTTTTCTTTATGCAGTATGGAAACTGATGCAGTTTCCATACTGCATCACTTTTGAAATGATGCAGTATGGCTTTTTTGGAACCACAGGTCACCAATATCGCCTCCTTACACCCATGTACTCGACCCATTTTTTCTTTTGGTTTTTAGAAGATAAAACGTCTGACAGCTGCAACGCAAGTACATTTATAATATAAAAACAGGAATTTAGTAAAACGAGTGGATTTAATAGAATTTTGAAGATCAGGGGCTCTGTGTAAAGTCTAGCAAGGTTTCCGTAACCTGCAGTGAAGCCAACTCGCCTGGCAACCAGCCAGGTACACCTCATATATCTTTTTTCATACATTTCTGGGCTTTTAACATTATTGAGCGATTAATCATAAGGCATGTCTATGTTTAATCAATGCAAAAGCTTCCCTGACTAATGCTCTTCCTTCTTTTCATCCAAATCTTTAGCAACTTTCAAAAACGACTATAATACAGCATGCCAAAAGCTGCCTACGAAGCACATCCAACACACTACCCATTCTATTATCTTTCGTGACCAAGGTGACAACCATATCTCCATTAGAAACAGGATTAACATTAGATTACAGGTTTTCCCCCTAAGCAAATGCAAGTATCAAGACAAAAGAGTGATTATCAACAGAAAGCAGAATTTTAATGCAACAATACTATGCATTAAGGGTCAAGCAGTTGATACAGAAATGGCATGCACAAGCCATGTGGCAAGGTCTCACTTACTGCTTCACTTTGTCAGGTATGCACACGTGGTCTAGCGGCACCACCCAAGACAACTCTTCGAGGCTATATACAAAACGCAGTTTCCTGCTAAACTTGGAGCTGAAAGAAAGCGTGAAAAATGAGGTTTAGCAGCATTCTAGGCAAGCCAGTGCTACCACTCTAAAGCAATATTTCACTCTATCGAGTCGCATTTCACTGATAAGAGCAGCTGTTTGGCCTGCTGGTTTCGCACACGTTTAGCCTTCGAAATCTTATTTTTATCACGGTGTGAGACAGCTTACGGCAAAGATGTTCACAATTCCGTCGACTTTGGTTATTAAAAATATACAATGCATCTGGAATGCCAATGTAGTATTCTATTACACACTTTAACAGTAACTCAATACTGGGTGTCTTTCACGGCATTCATTCCCAAGTGCATAAGCCTTGTGAACCCACCGGCTAGAGTTCTCACTCCTCAGTGTGCCATAAATAAAATTTACCAGGGTGCAGCAACATTTATTCGAATTTCACAGTTTAATGCCATTAACAAAAACACCTGCTGGCAAAACCAGAGAACGAATCTAAGTGAAAATATTTGTAATTAACAAAGGTTCAATTAGTGAGGTTTTGCTAACTAAAATTCTACCGTCTTTCATAGAAAATTTTGACAAGTTCTTGTAAGTATAAAAAGCAAATAAAAATCCTCAGTAAACATAACATTTATGCGTGATGCCACGTCAGTAAAAACACATGTGAAAAAAAATCAGTGCAAAGAGAGCTGACCTGATAAAAGGCCTGGTCATAATAACAATAGTCTTCAGCCAGAAGGTGGGGTGCACAAGATAAAGCCCCTTCAGGTTTTTCCGCAATCTGCAAGAAATCAAGATTCTCAGTTTATTGTCAACATAGTACTTCAAAAGGCTTTTGATGAGCTTGTAAAAGTTTTTGTTTTGATAGTTAAAGACCAACTCCAGTGATTTGTTGAGATCAATGGATATCAATAAAATTCGCTGGGTACGTTCCTTTGCACATTTTCGTCATTTATGCCAAATTACAGACTTGAGAGATCCGCCGATTGCTTGGAAATAAATTTTAAAGTTTGCCTCGAAAAGCTCACCTCGCTTTCGAGAATTATTGGCAACACTGTCTGTGTGACGTTGAGTTTGGCAGGACATCACAGTGACGCAGCCGATGGCATCGCTGCTTTGACCGCTACAGCATTCATTGTGCTGGCCACAAGGCGACTGCGGTGGTGTTTGGCATGGGTATAACACGGGAAAGCTTTCCTCCTTCCTCTGTGCTGCTTGGCCGGCGCTTCGCTGGCCTGGCTTTCACAGCTTTCATACTCTGCGCCAGCGGGACCAGTGTACGGCCTCCGGTTCTTACCAAATAGTACGTCATACACAGACAGGGTGCCCGGTTGGGTTTCGGTTTCGGTATTGCGCCTTTTTTCCTATTAAAAATTATTTTCAAGAGCATTTTAGCTATTGGGCTCGGGACAAGAGTGTCTCGGGAACATAGAAACATCATTAGCTCGACATGGTCGAAAACTTGCCGGAGCTAGCCTTTAACGAAGCTTGGCAAAAAAAAAATGTTGCCGAGTCAACAACTTTTAGAGAAAGCCCCCAGCACTGCATGAGTACGTAAGTCCCAAGAGTTCGTCTAAAATTGTTGATTGTCATTGTCATCTTGAAGCCATTTTAACTTGCTGTGATCTCAAGTAATATACTACAAATAAGGTAAGCAGAGCTAACTTTGCTTAACAAAATGCAGACTTATGCTTCCTCTACACAGTAGTTTTTGCTACTACTCGAAATGGACTAAACAAAGGTATCGAAGTATCATAAAACATACAGATTTGAGAAATGGGTATCGAAGTAGCGGCCCAGATAGTGATGATTCATTATGTCTAAGTTTGGCAGTTAAAATTACAGGGATCAGAGAGTGTATTTTCCATGTCATAAGTACTTGTCGTCAACATGCATAATTCATGCAAATTATAAGGGACCAAGTGTGTTGGGTGCCATCCATACTGGCTTACTCATTCGCCATACTTTATAGTCATACCAGTGCAATTAACGTAACAACTGCATTTATTCATTTCCTACCTTCCGTTTGCCCCTTGAACTTAAGGGGATGCATCCTTTGAAAATTGAAAAATCGTGAAGAAGTCCATTTTTGGAGAACTACATATTCTGGTAGTATGTCGTATAAACTACCTGTTCTATAAATATTAATGTTTATTTAATAGTGAAAGTACGTCAAATAAATTATATAACAAGTCGTGGCAGCCGGCGAGTGGCCAAAGAGCACTGAAAATATCCCAACTTCGCGCGTTTGCAATTTCCCAACCACGCAGCCCAGCACCGCTATCTTGATCTTGTTTTTCTCGTGAATTCTTGCTTTTTTTTTTCTGCCACCTGAGGCAGCAGCAGCGGCGTGGCCAAGGCAGGAATCGCTCATAATTGGGGGCCCTCGAAGTTTTGAAGTCTTCTGCGGCTCAGATATGAAGCCACGATTGGAAGAAGCGTGCGCCTCTCGAAGGAGTGGGCGATCACGCAGCTCCTATTGGCTGCTGTGCGCGATGATGCATCTGTGCCCTGGCTCACCGTCTGCTCCTACGCTGGCCTTGCAAGTGCCAGTGTTCCCTGGGCGTGCTTTGTGTGTCCCCCATTTGCGATCATTCCGCTCGGTTCTCACATGAGCTCTTCAATTTTTCAGCATTTTTAACTAGACAATATTTTCGCCGTGTTCACAGGACACTGTTTGTTGTTCGGTCACTAACGATGGGCAGGGCAAAGTTTGGGACTCAGCATGCGTTCTCTTGAATAAAGCGTCTGATGAAGCTCGTACACATGGCGAGGCTCGTTCACACGCGAACGCGTGGGTGACAGTCTGATCGATGCTGAGCATCTTCTCCTTTGTCTCTTCAAGACGATGACTGCATTGACGCTTATCATAACTTCGAGATTGCTACATCATCAGCGCAACACTTCGTCGTGACAAGTGCGGCTAGTGTTGGTGTTTCGTGCTCAAGTGCGCCTGATGCGCTGCGCTCGCTAACTGCAGTGATTACGACCCCAATCTATGCGACCGCGCCATAGACTGTGCAATTGCCAACACGTTCGTAGACGTGCGAGGAGTTAGCCGCGGAGAATAGCGAATGTGTTGCTGTGCAACCAAAGCACGGCACTATGTCAGCAACCGATGACGCTATGCCAACAACCAACGGGCAGCGGAAAAAGACCCTTTCCATGTGAAAAAGGCTCAAAAACAGCTGCAGCACAGGTAGGAAAAGTGGTAAAAAAGTCCTAAAGAACATTTCTAGCTACTTTGCAGGGTCATTTTAGACCAAAATATGTGTTCGAAACTTTCAAAGTCTGTTTTCTGAGACTGACTTTTTTGGCCAGTGAGGCTGTTTAGTCTGGTGATATCTCTGCAACTGTTCATCTGATTTCTATCAGATTTGTTTTATTATGTACCCTAATAAATAGCCCACACACTGACAGAGCCGTTTTTTTAATTTATTGTGTCTGTAATTTGTGATAATTAAAATTTCATTGATACATATTCAATGGCAAACACCCTATCCAGTGCTCTGCTAAAAATTTTCAGCAAGCAAACTAAAAAAAGGGGCTCTGTCCTAGTGTAAAGCACCCATCCAGGAATCATCACAGTGAATTTCACAGTGCTAGCACATTTATTAAATTCACCAGAGCCTGACTAAGAAACCCATGTGAACTATCCTGATAAATCGCTGTAACTTGGGAACCAGTAAACCTAAATGCATGAAATTTCGTGGTTATTCAAATGGCTTTATTATTACCCTGAAAATTTCATTAGGATATCTCAACAAGCAAAAAAGTTGCCCTTCCATGGTATCCTCCCCCCTTAAACTGAAGATTGAAAACTAGAGAAATAGGATAGGTGCTTGCCTCCTGTCAATCATTTGGTAGCAGCGCTTGAGCCAACCAAAACTGGGCATCTTGCTGCGCTCGGTGGCCCCGTGAAGGTAAATCAGGACGTAGCTGTCAACCACGAGTTCGTCTAAAGTTGACAAAACGTATCTGCAAATGAGCGGTCACAATCGTCAATTTGACGGTGGCATTTAAGACTGGTGACATACAGGCACAGTGGTATGAGAGAGAACTTCATATAGTTATCACAAAAAAAAAAAGAGACAGCTCAGTGTCCCTACAGAAAGCCCAACACTGCCTCAAGCACCATAGATTGCATGCACTATGTGCCATCTTGTTGACATATCAACAATGCGACATATTTACGGAGTGCAAGTTCAAGAGCACCTCCAAATGTGATGTCTACTATATCTGGCATCTTTTGTGTCATATTCAAGCAAAGCACCTGAGCTTTCGTAAAGTGTAAACGCAATAGGTTACAGATTATGCTCACCATACATATCAGCCATGCAAAACTTCAAATCTTAGCGCTCGTGCTTCATATCCGTTCATTTAAAAAAATTGTCATTTGCTGAACAGCAGATTAAAGCTACAGAGAAAAGTCATATGCATCTTCCAGAAAAAAGCTTTACAATTTTTTAAAAAATTAACCAGAGAAGGCTTTACGAAAACTTACAGGAACAGATTATCCATGACATAGTCGTAGTCTCTCCGGCACCGATCAGGTAGGTGGCATGCACTAAACACAATGATGGCTTGACGATCCTCTCCGAAGTAGCCTGACAAAACAAAGAAACACAGTGCACTTTACTACAAGCGGGCACTGGATGTGGCAACAAATGATGATGATGATTATGATATAGTTGGCATTTTAAGACCCTGAGCTACACTATAATTATAAGAGATGCTGCAATGAAGAGCTCCGGAAATTTTCACCACCCAAGATACACTTCATGCACTTCAATTAGATGGGCCTTTAGCATTCTTGCCTGCATCGAAAATGCGGCCGCTATGACTGGTGGATACGGGGAAACGAAATAAATCAGCACAACTGTATACATATACGCACTTTGGTTAAACGAACATTTACCAAAGCCACATTTCAAATGTAGTACGCGCCTGCTAACAGAAATTTGAGTTGAAGGCAGCAGACTCACAAAGCATCCTGACACAGCTGAACTAAGTGTTCCTACTATTACCGTAAATAGCTTCCGCTTCTAAAAATAAAGCTAAAGGAAGAGAGCAAGTTCAACCAGGTAATGAACTGCAGTTTTCAATCACACAGGAAAAAAAGCTGTATTTACGAGTATCTATAAGGATGAAATAAGGCGCAATATTTATCACATGCGAAGTGCTGCGTGCACGGGAACGACAGACGAAAGGGAAGGAGCAAAACAAGACTAGCAATAGTCTTTTTTTGTTATTTAATTGTGATATAGACTTCCCTTTAAGGCATAATATTTTTTTGCATGTATGCGTATTAAATGTGCACCATTAGACCGGTGTTGTGCATGAAGTGAAGTAGCATCTGGTGGAATGTGTTGTCATGCATCCAGCGGTTGTAACTGGCTGTGTCGCTGTAGCGAAGGCCGGCTTGAAGGAGGTGACAGGAGCGTTTCGGCTGCAGTATGCATCTGCTTGCATCACTAGAGTGGTACAATAAGGACACGTATCACCAACAATAGTCCTGTTTACTTCTTCTCTTTCATCTATAATCCCGTGCACGCTGCACTTTACGCATGACGAATATGTACCCACACGCTCCAAGAGCCGTTTTAATGCAATGTTTAGTTAATGGTGTCTTCCAGCACTATATGTTGCCACAGGAGTTAGGTAAAGATAATACATGCATGCATACCTCCATGCGATAGCACCTTCTTGTAAGGCTCGATCACCCTCATGTCAATCTTGCGTTCGACACCACCCACGTTGCAAGTCTTCCAGCTTCTCTCCTCTGCGTACTCTTCTCGAGCAGACATTTCAGGAATTGAGTCACTCAGGGTCGAGTCATCTCCTGTTCGGGGCAGAAAACGACAGCATATAAAGCACACTGAACGTACTAAAGGCCGGAAAACAAAATAAGGCAATGGAGCCATTGAAACAGAGAGGCGTTAATCACATAGTGAGGTATTGAATGCTTTCCAAATGAGCACAAGAATTATTGTACTTATAGTGACCCTTAGGCTGGTTTTCCCATAAAACAAGTAGGATAGTTTTACACATCAATGTAATGAGCCCCAAAACTATAGCCGTCACTGTTGTATATCAATCAATCAATCAATCAATCATTTTATTTCCTTTAGATAAGGTCGAGTACAGGACTAAAAGCTCAAGAGCTTGACGAGGTCCTGACCCCGTTCACAAGTTGACAAAGCAGCAGGAATGGTAGTCAATCATGTACAACAAATATGAAATAAACATACAGGTATAACATCACAAAAAAGTAATACAAAAAGTTTATGAAAACAGTGCTAAGATAAAAAGAGAGTAGTTCAAATGTATGGTCATGAAGTGGCATGAACATGAAAAGCAATAATAAAAAGGAAAGAATGGGCATAAATTCTGAGAGAAGTATCATTGAGGATAATGTATCAGTTGGGCGAAGTGTTTAATCTGACAGTTTTGTTTAGAGGAAGGATCGAAATCTTCGCGGTTTAAAAAATTTAACAAAGAAGGCAGTCTGTAGGACAATGATTGCTTGTCATAAAAGGTTCTTGGGGTGGGTACAGTCCAAACTTCTTTGTGCCTGGTGAGTCGAACACTTGTGTTTACGATAAGTTTAGCAAGATGTATTGTGGTATTGGTACAATGTTTGACAAACTCTTTATAGCATAACATCAGCCTGTAGTTGTACAAAAAGAAAACTGGAAGAATATCATATTTTAGAAAAAGAAGTTTTGTAGACGACAGATAGTGTTCAGCCGCAATATGTCGTACGGCCCTTTTCTGTAGTAAGTGCAACTTGCGCAAATTCGTCACACCGGTTGTGCACCACACTAAGCTACAGTACTGTAACAAAGATGATACCAGTGCATTGTATATCATAATTTTGACCTTAGTGGGAAGAAGAGATCGCATACGTGCAAGGACACCAATGGACGATGACATCTTAGAGTATATATAAGTGGATACTAAAATAAGCTAACAAACGGCCAGTTACAGCTGTATATTCACGTCTCTCTCCTCTTCTCTTGTCTTCATGCAGAGCAGAAGCAGACCCATAAGCAGAATTTTTAAAATTTCCCATTATTGACCACTTCAACACACTTCGATTCTTACACACACTAACGTAGTCGTAAACTACTGCTACTGTGCAACATCTCCATGAAAATTTACCTCTGCTTTGCCTAATTCATGAAGTTTAACATCCTAAACAAACACTGCCATTATGACAGTGAAAGGATCTGGATTAAAGTGGGATGAGACTCTGAAAATGAGTTTTAAGATTCATCTGCACAGAAGTGGTACTAAAAGCTATGGTTGTACAATTTACACATTACTTTAAGAATAAAGGCATGTTGCATTGGGGCACATAATTAGTTTAAAATTGTATTTACTGTTTTAATTTTTTTACTTTTTTTTTTCATTTTCTTGACATACTATATGTTCCTTTATTGAGCTCTAATTTCTGCAGAGCCATGCATATTTGTACAAAGGTACTGAGCAACACTTTATAAAAGAGCAACCAAAAATTAGGAGCGTACAACAAAAACTAGATTTGTTCTGTTCTTTAAGTTTGTTGATGTATGAAAATTACCACTTATAGATGGTTTGTTTTAAACTAAAAAAATACAAATGCACCTAAGCTACTGATTCTAGTTCCAGTTATCTAAATGCCAATAAATAACCCATGAGAGAATTTTCCTTAGCTTATGCCTTACAGTTCATGAGAAAGAAGTACACGAGCCTCCAAAAATGTTGTCTCAAATAAAACAAATACATAAAGGTATACCCAGTGTTCCTGTCAATGTGCCAAAGAACATGGGCTAAAAATTATTTTTGAAACTGCGAGTATTCAAGTGTGATAAATTTTCTGAAAGATAAAGAAATTAACTATCAAACAATGGCGAAATTCTCAACATCAAATTTTTTGCTGAACATAGTTTCACTGCATCGTAACACAAGCACCTCCTTTCTTTTAAAGCGGTAATGAACAGCTTTCCAAGTAATAAGCGAATGACCGCAGTATCAAGGTTTATTGCCATACGAATCCACAGTGGCAAAAATTTTTCATATCTGCCAAGAACAAACAAAGTTACAAGGCTTAAGTGTTTTCTCTCTTCTCTCATCCCAATAAACGAGCTGAAAGCTAAGCAGGTACGAATGGCACATGGAAAAGAAGCTATGTCAGCACACATCATGACCTTGAGCACATGTGATGAAAAGCGACCACTTTCTCTCATCGTTATTTCTGTGCATGAGTGCGGGTCATTATGTAATATTAGCAGACTATGAAGCACTGTGCTGGCTCATGGCAGCGCCTCATGGGAAAAAATGCACCTGACCCAAACGCTGCACTTGATTTATATCAGCTATTAGCGATTGGCATACTACTCACTGTTCGACATCAAACAATGGGAACCGGCAGCCTTAAAGCGAGTGGGGACGGGCTTTTGTCTCAAAAGCGGACGCCTGAAGAAATGGCAAATTCACGCTCCACTCATAAGCTGTCCTTGCCACGCAGGACTGCAAAATTTGGCTACAATATTCATGGCAGTGTCTGTCTGCTATATGCGGGATGCATTTTCTCACTAAGCCCGAGGGGTGCTTCATTACCTCTCTGACATTCACATAAATCTATTCACACGAAGTTCTACACTTCATTTAAATGCAGCAGCTGTAACTTGGAGTAGAACTGCCTTAGTACCAAGCAATGATGCCACAATGTTGAAGCAACTTTCTTGATGTTGCAACGTTGTGTCAAGATTTGGGTCTACTAGGGTGTGACCTCAAGCTAAGCGAAGGCCTATCTCTGAACACTCTGCCCAAACCTTCCTTTGTTTTCTCTGAATCCACAGTAGTTGCACTCACTTCCCAGCACAGAGTCACCCAGTTCATCAGGAGTCTCGATATCTGGCGTTGCCAGGTCGTCCGCAGGTGAGAAGACGTCCCCGTCACTCTTGTTGCTCATCGACGAGAGGCTCTTCTGGTCATCGTCAAGACCGATCTGGGCATGAAGGATGTCTGGGTTCACTTTAATCTTGCGTCTACTCCTGTTGGCACCACTCAGGCTTGAGGGCCTCTCTGCAACAGTGAACGGTGAACACCTTCGTGAAACGAGGCACCACAGTAAGGCAGGCACACAACAGGGAGCAGTCCAGACAAAAAGTGAAAAGGATAAGAAACTAAACAAGGACGGGACAGCAAGCAATGTCATAGAATAAACTACTTTCTTTTTTACAATATAATATGTATTTTAGTGCAACTATTATTGCTACATGACTCTTACTCAAATTTTTCATAAAGCTCACATTTTGTTTAAATCATTAAGGGAAACACTTGGCATTTCAGCTTTTATGATTTCTCCCGAAGAAAAATAAGCCACCACCACTGTATGAGTACTTAACCACACCAGTAAACATCTGAAGGTACAAAGACTAATTTGGTGGGTTTACGAAACTAAAATATCATGACAGACCAGGCAAGAAAAATAAAGCATTTCAGTGAATGATGTCAACGAGCAAACGCAACCAAGCAAAAAAAAAAATTTGAGTGAAAACAAAGCAGTGATGCACGATTCTTTAACTCAAGGTTAGAATAAGATGAAATACGTTGTATGACACATATCAAATACCATTATATTAATCACTGATTGTTGTAGTTACGGCTACTTCACACAAAATTTAACAATGTATCCAGAACCGGACATTAAATCAAGATTTGCAGAAGCGAGGGCCTTGAGAAACATGTCCTTGGGAAACATGCACAGCACCCTAAAGCAGCAGGCACATAAGCGGTAAACACCACCCCCGATTTCAAGACGACCGGACGCTGCAAACTGGACAGCTGCACAGGAACTAGTAGGGGTGAAGAAAAAAGTCAGGGTGTTAGTAGCTGCACAGCAAAGAAAGCATGTTATTGACGGCCGATGTAAAGCGGTGACCCACAAACCTGCTGGGGCACTGTAGTCATTTTCCTGCTGCATTTCTTCAGAAACAAGCTCAGGTGGAGAGACTGCAGAAGCAGCAGCAGCAATGCTGCCGTTCAAGGGTTGTTCTGGAAGAGCCACTACCGGTAGTTCTGGATCTGAACGGGCAGCATTCACCTTGATTTTTTGTTCCTCCCAAGAGAGGTTAGCCGGCAGCGACGACAAACTACGAGACGAGTCAGCCGTGAATCTGTTTGCAATTCCAGTACCGGGAAGCATGTCCAGCTTTTTCAGGACAGACTCCTCAACGTCTATCCTCTTCAACGAGTGGAAGGTCTCAGCGGCTGGAACATCGTGGGTGTCAACGCCCCCGCAGTGAGCTAAACTCTTCTTTTCGAGGGTCGCCGTCTTACTGACGTTGCTGCAAGGATTGACGCTGTTGTCCTCCTCGTAAGCTACGACTACAATGTCGCTGGAGTCGTCCGAAAATGGCGCAAAGTTTGGCACAATCACTTTCTTTTCTCGACTCTGACAGCCGCTGCCGTTCCTTAGGCTCCCGCCAGCCAATTCCACGACAGCCTCTAGAATGTTGTCGTCGATGAAGCTGGAGTACGACACGTAGTTGTTGACAATCTCGTCCACTTCCTGCGGTGTCAGTAGGTCCTGCAGTCGGCCGCTTAGAACGTAGCCGTCTTTGATTTTCACCTCATCGAAGCAACTCCTTATCTTCGCGACAAGGTCTTCGTCCGGCAATTCTCCAGAGGCCTTCTCCTCGAAAAGAAAAGAGTTGCCATTTTCCAAGGGAGGAGGCAAGTTGTGTAGATTAATGCGAGCAACGTCATCAGAATACTGTTCGGCTATGAGGTCTAGCGAAGTCTTGCTCGCGTTGGGCGTTGAGTGTCTGACGAGGGCATAAGAGTCATTGTTAGGCGAGGAAAAACCTAAGCTCGGCATCGACACAGGCTGGGCTTCCTCATCGTCAGCCTCGAATTCGGGAGTGGATGAGTGACTTGAGAGAGGAGGCAGCGCGGGTGACTTCTCTAAATTTGGAACGGCCAGTCTCCCGCTCAGGAGGCTGTCCTCGTAGTACTCCTCCAGCTCTGAAGCCAGGCTCAAAGGCTGGCTCAACTCAAGGTTGCTTACTTGGCCTGGTGTTGGAGAACAGGAAGGTGCTGTGTCATCACAAAGCATTAAAGACTGTTATTCATAGTGCTACAGCAATAATAAATGTCATGTGCAGCAAATAATGGGATCACTCAAAACAAACGCAAATACACGTGTCATGTATTGATCAAAGTAACACTAAACGATGTTAAACACTGATCACATACCGATGCTGTGAAAATTATCTCTGTTTTACATTTGTCTCTGAAACCATGTAGCATCTATCGTGAATTGTAGGCTTAAATGACCCTAATTGTGAAATATGAGTGCAAATATAGTTTTTTACTAAGTATCTAGAAAGTTTCTCGATCCGTGTGATAAAAGTACAGCTGTGACAGCTTGATACGAGCACCAACCATAATATATAAAATAAAGAAATCGTCAATACCTCTTCGAGCTTCAGAAATTGACATATGCTCCCCTCTAGACAAAACTTCATCATCTGTTTCATCTTCACCGCAGGTGGAACCCTAAATGAAAAGAAGCAGCCACAGCGAAATGTCAGGTATTTTCTGCAAATATGAATATTTAGCATGAAGAATGCAAGATTTATTGTTGAACACTTAAACTAACTTTTAAGGTTTTGTGACTACCTGATTTATCAAAAATATACTACGTTCTTGTAGTAAATAGAACTCACTAAATAGAACCAATATCAAAACCACCACTATTTTCAATAGCCCGTACGCTTCCTGCACAAGCTTTATTGAGGACCTTTCGCAATTATGAAGGTGTGAATTACAGATGAAAAAAGGACATTGTACTAGCAGAGAATGGTACTTCGTGCTAATTTGTCCAGCATTGGATGCAACAACTCAGCAAGACAATGAGTGCAGAAAAATGAAAAGAAAGAGAGAGACAGAAAGAAAGGGACGAAAGAGAAAATATAGAAAGCCAGAGAGAAGTAGAAAAAACAGAAAAAACATGAAAAAAACATACATCAAGGCATACCTAGAAGGAAATACAGAGATGGAGAGAGACAGAAAGAGCAAACGAAAATACACAAAAAGAAAGCAAAAAAAGAAAAGAGCAAGAAAGCAAAATAGAGAGAGTACCAGTAACAAACAGTAGAGAGGGAGAGAGAGGAAGAAATAGAGGAAAAAAGAAAAAGCAATATACAGAGAAACGTGAAAGTCCACAGCTCCACTATATGCTCCAGCTTTGCACCACTACTGCAAGCTGCGCCAATTCATTTCATTCATGCTAGACTAGCCCAGCCTAGAACTTTCCATTTCCAACGCAAACTGAATTTTCAACGCAATATCACCAGTGCTCTCTACACAATATTTGGACCAAATTCAGTGCACCTCAAGGTTCTAAGAATTATTTTCCCAGACCAATTTAATAGTTTTCTTTCATGCCAATTAACTCAATAAAAGAAAGGAAAGAAAGCTTAGAAGTAAATAAAACAAATGATCACTTTTAAACAAAAGTTGGGAGTGTGCTCACAGTTTTCCTCTGAGCAGACCTCAGGTGTGGACTGTCGGGGAAGTCCACAGTCTGGGCTCGATAGAGGAAGGCAGCTGGACTCGGTACGTCAGCATCAACTGCTGCAGTGAAGCCTTCATCGTTCACTTTTTCTGTGCCTCTGCAAGAAACCCTGCTGATTGTCAGCTGCTAAACCAAGACAATTGCACATTGCACTGCAACTTGCAGATGACTCAAGGGGGAAACCAGAGTCAATTTTCCAATCTGGCTAAGTGCCACAAAATCGCACGCCCTAACATTTATCATAAATTCTTCCCTTTTTTGCTTTTAGATAGGCCATACATCAAAAAGCCCACCGCATTTCCCCGTAGCAGTCACAGTGACGAAGTCTATCCACTGAAAGCCCATATTGCCACTATTCACCAATCGTTTTTTCTGCACACAGCCCGAGACTCGAATGACATGTCGCCACCATCATCGACACCCAAGCGGCTCATTGAAACCATTTCACTATAACAACCGCTATATTTATAGCCTTTCTATCACCCACTCCCTCATGTAATATCCCAACCAGGGACATCTGAGGTAATAAAATGAATGAATGAGGTTCCCTTAGCTTTCACTTCTCAACTTCTTAGTACTAAGCACTTTACCTACTTTTTTTAATTTCCTTCCCTGAACTTAGGTTGTCTCAACTAAAACATTAGCTACTCTCATCAAAGACATCAAATAGATACACCAAAACCTTGTTAGAAATGCAGGTTGACCTTAAAATGAACTGTTCTATGTAACAGTTTAATTCCAGAATTAAATACACGGTGCAGGCACACGCAATGCTCGGAAACTAATTCAGTATTATTAGGAACCGATTTGCTCACCTTAATTTTGTATTACAACTGATCTGCTAATTATGGTACGATATGACAGTTGTGATCTCGAGAATTCGCACATTAGTAGGTAATAAACTTTATTAAAGATCCAATGAGGAATCACTGGCCCGGGCTAGGCCTCCAGGAGCCGTCATATGTAGAGCATCGTGCGATGTCCTCGGCGATAGCCCTGGCTCGCTGGACAGCCCAGATTTGGTCCACTGCTCGTGGGCTGAGAAGGGCGCTTCGCCACCGCTCAGCCAGTTGTCCTGGGGTACACTCACGCTCGTCCGAGTAGTGGCGGCAAACACCGCACTCGCACTTCCAAAGTATATGCGCCATATCGGCTATCTTTTTGTAATTGCTAGGGCATCTTACTGCCACAATTGCTGCTAAGTTGATAGTGTGCACTGCATCAGCCATGCACTGCCATAATCTCATGACATTAAAGTGAACAGAAAACAAACAAGTAATTAACACAAAGAAATAATGTTATTACCCATCTTTTGCAGTTTCAGACATGCTGTTTGAAGAATCAGAAGGTGAGAAAGGGGGGTCCCGTAACGCAGTGTCTTCAGGACTGCTCACGCTGAAATGAAATAAATGAATGGCAAATGTATAGGATATGTACACGCGACTTGTGGCCAGTACAGATGGGAAGAAGCTAGAGCCAGTGTGTTTTTTTTTTTCTTGCAGTACTTGCCAAAACACACAGGGTGGTTCCAACATATAACTACAATTTCGTAATTTTTCTTTCTGATCCATGCTAGTCTTGCTATCAACAGGCACTACGAAATGACTTAAAGGGGCCCTGAAACACTTTTTGAGCATGATCAGAAAATGCCGCCGATTGGTAGAAGAGGCTCTCGACAACACGCGAGCCAAATATTATAGCGCAGCACACGGCCTGGAACTCATAATAAATGATCAAAGCCAGCTAAAAATTGCTTTCTCTTCTCTCAAAAAATCACGGAAGACACCCAAAAATCACTCGTAAAAGGCCCATCTATCAGCCATTGGCTGATTTAAACATGGCATCCTTGGTTGTTAAAGCGACATGTCCACGCATGAGCACGCAATCACACTGAAAAACCCGTGCATTGCAAAAAAAAAAAAGTCCTTAAAGTCACGCGACGCGCGTGACGTTTTTCTTTGCCCCTGCCATCCCTCCCTCTTTAGCTTCCAGCGCTTTCGTTGGGACGAAAGAATAGAGAATGCAATTGCAGCATACGACAAATCTTGGTAACTCCACTCGCACGGGACGGATTCTTGAAATTTTCGAGGCATTGAATTCGTCAGGCAATCAGCTCTTCCAGTGAATTTATTTCGTGGTTACTTGAAAATGTATGTCAAGTAACCACGAGTGTCAAGTAACCACGAGTCATAGCTTAAAGGGCCCCTTTAAGCTATGAAAATTGCCTGGGATTTTGAAAAATGTCACCTAAAATTTCTGCAGTACATAAAAAACAGCGATCACAATGAAGCTAGGAGATCCACGATTCCAGCGCAAACTTCCAATTACAAAAAAAAAAAGTTGCCGTTTCTTTTTTGAACTGATTTGAAATGTACAAAAGTTGGCTGTTATTTCTTTACATACGTTAAGAGCTTCTAAGCATCACAGCAACTAATGGCTGTAGTTTTCACACATATGAGTATTGATATTGCCCCCGCCATATTCCCACATGAGCATACCATCTCGAAATTCTAAACCAGAGTGATTTTTTCATTAAAGCCCTAAACTTGATCTCATTATTAAGGTGCAAATATATTCCTCAGCCTGTATTATAATTACATTATACTCTGAATTTCTTCAAAGACACCTCTGGTATGAAAGGCTTTGGCTATGTCCAAGGTAACATTCAAGCCCCAAATTATCAACACATTGTAAAAAAAGTTTTCAGAAAAATTTACCAATAATATTGTTGGCATTATAAACATATGCACCAGTTTTTTGCTATATTACATGTTAAATGTTAATTAAATGTTAATTTATGTTAAATGTTAATATTAAATGTTAATTAAATGAATGCTTATTCATAAGCATTTCTTTATAATCCTGCTTTTCATTTCGATAGCACACAGACACTTCAATAAAAGAGCACCTTCGTTGTCCCTTGTATCATGAACCGCATGAGACAGTTCTTAAGACATCAACTGCTGTGGTGGGTCAAGCGTGACATCACACATCATCACCAGCCATGACACAGCGTCAAGTATCAACGCATGTAGCACAAAACTTTTATTCCTTGAATTCTAGGATGTGTAAGTTGATGCAGCACTCGGCAATGCTTACTATTTCGTGGTACGAGCACAAGTTCTGGAATAAAAAAATTACATTCACTGTACACCAACACACAAGAAACTACTACCCTAATGCAACAAAAGCTCCTATAAGCTCCTGAACGTTATACACACAGAACAAAGCTTCCCAACTTCAAAGCTACGATCGGTGCTTCACTGCACTTGTGGAAGTGTACACTTACTGACCATCATATAATGCCTTTTATTGAACCCTCAAACACTTGCACAGCAAGCTGCCTGATCACATATTCAGTCACTTCGACCTCATCTTCGCTTGATCATCCAGACAACCATATAAGATACCGACTTCCATTTTTTTAACAACATGAAAAGTGGTGCTGCCTAATATTGAAATGATCCCACTTTACCAATGACCCTGGGCAATTCACAAGCTGGTATTTTACACCTACTGCAAGGCACATTAATTGAAAGTGTCACTAGCAACTGCTTATTGTAGGGTCAACAAATCATTCGTGTTATTTACCCTTCACTTGGTAAAGAGGAGCAACTTTTCCTGAATGTATTTGTGAAACTGCGGCACGTCTTTGGATTTTGAAGCTAACATTGCACAATGTTACCATAACGATGTGCAAGCTATAAAGCTGTGTGAAAGAGAACATTTCAGGTGCAAAGCTAATTCAAATATTGAAGGTTAGGTGTGAATTAAATAGAATATTTTTCGAATACTTTGAAGTGAAAGTGAAGAACGAAAAAAAAAATGTCTAAGAGGATTCTCACACAATTTCTTACTACACAGCAACAAGACAGTGTTTTTGTTTTTTTGGCTCGGTCGATGAAGCGCTGGTAGGGTGGTGTCAATGCAGAGAATAAGTCAATGCAGAGGCCGTATTGGAGTTATGCAATGATCCGGTGGAACCAAAGTGTTACTGGCAACACCACACACGTGAAAGATAATGATACTGTTTCTCCAGCCTCTCCTCCTCTTTCAACTTTTATGGAAGCCCAACTGATGTGGCTGACAAGAGTGTACTCCCTTCCTGCCTGCCTCACAGACGTCAAGCACATAAAAGACCACCTGAAATTTTGGATACTAAAAAGTTTTGGCATCTGCAGACTTCCTGCCAGAATATCAGGTCCAAAACAGTATTGAGCCCCCACCTATGCCACATCTATCATCTCTATGCGAGAACAAACATTATCTTGAGACAGCACATTTGCGACCATAGTGGAACCTGAAATACAGCTTTGTCGCAATACAAAAATGAGATGGGGTGAAGCATATAGAAAACCTGAAGGGGCCACTGCTAATTTGATATTGACTATACTTTTCTTTCAGAAGTTTGAATAGTTCGAACAGTAAAATTCCAGAGCGAGCCAAACAGCAAGCACTATTAGAAAAATATCCGAAATTTCAAATATTCGCACACCCATAGTAGGCTCCCATATAACAGGGCTTCGAGCTTCAATTCAAGAGACCATGGTTCCTTGGAAATTAGACAGAACGTAGAAGCTTTTTGCGAAAATGAGTATGTAATTGGAAAGTTACATGGCCTCTACCGTTTCACCCCCATTGAAATTCAACCACCATGGCCAGGATCAAACCTACAACCTTCGGGTTAGCAGCTGAGCACCGTGACCACTGCTCCACCGCAGCAGACACAGATCAACATTATAAGTATAAGCACTGCTTTGAAACATTCTTCGTGCCCGTGTTTGTTATGTAATATCTAGCAATATCTCAATGAGAAGCCAAATAATGAGTAGCATAGATGCAGTTTACACGTTGTGAAACTGTAGTTGCGACATTTCACTTACGTTGTTGGTGCACAAGGCTGATTGTTTACGCTGAGAGTGCCATTTGTCTGGGGGCAATGCTCATTCATCTTGGGGAGGATGTTGTCGTCTGCGCAAAGGCAATGAGACAGCGAGAATGTGGTGCAACAGCGAACTGAAAATTTTGAAAATTAAATAGTTTATTTCAAATAGAGCAGATTTGCACTACATGTTTCTCATTGCTGTTACTTTCCCCCACTGCGATTTTAGTGAAAATATGGTCCTCCTATTGTAGGAGCATACCACGTAATCATCCTTATGGATATAGTGTCATCCTGTGGACATATGAATATCACACTGTACGTTTCCAAATGGGTAGTGGAAGAAATGATGTAAAAATGAAAAGAAAAAAAAACATTTGCAAACAATGCACAAATTCAGTGGCATTCAATACCCTGATTCATACAGCATAAACCTCTTTAATTTCTTTTGATGTCTATGCAGTCATTTAATGACATCTGAGGTGCGCATACTAACAGGTACACCTGTGCTCTCATCATGTTTGTCCGTGATTTCGTGGAGCTGCTCAGCTTTGTAGAAAAATCAAACTGACATTTTTTTAGACCATGAAATGCTACCTCAATCACTGAACCTCATTGAAGAATAAATTTTTTCAACAGAGCAGTATTTATGAAGCATTCTCAGCTCTAACAGCAGCTCAGAGTACATTTAGGCTGCTTTTTTTTCTTAATTCTCTGTGTGTCTACTTACAACGGGCCTGAAGTACAACCAGAGCCACATGCTGAAACAGGATAGTTTTGCACACAACCACACTTGATATTTGTGCAAAACTTGAAACCCTTTAAAAGTGGCATGCTCTAGGCAGTAATTCTTGTCTTTTATATGAGATGTTTCTTATGAGCAGGGGACCCTACATGCATTTTCATATCAAATCGTATTTTACTGCAGGCACACTAATGTCTATACCCATGTGTATCTTATATGAATGTCTCTTATAAAGGGGCTCGACTGTAGCAGCAGGAATGGCAGCAAAAGTGCAGTCAGCTACCAATTTAATGAGCTTTCACTTTATGCAATTCAGTAGTGCATTACTTCAGTTTGCACAACACTTTCAAATTTGTTTTTCCTACCCTGATACACTAGCCCACGAAAAAGTCAGCTAACGACTATCAAATGTCGCTGTAATGCTGCCTCATACCTCAGGATCATCAGCATTAACACCATTAAACACAAACAAATATTAAGCAAACATTTGATGACCTAACCTAGTAATATAATATGCAACTAAATAACAGCGCAGTGTTTTTGTTACTTATGGTATTAACAATTGTTGCTGCTGAGCCATACAAGAGCACATGCCTAAGATATATCTGCGATCTAATTCTGTGTGCTCCTAAAGTCACTGGGCAATTGGACACAGCACTGATGAGAAAAAATAATGGCTGTCTCGTAAAAGATTTGAACAGGTTGCAGTAGCCCGCAGTTATTCCCAATTCCTTTTTTTTATCAGATTATGTGTTCATTCTCGGTAGCAGAGCATGTGCTCATGTACATTTTTTGCTGCCTAGTACAGAATTCCATGAATGTTGCACAAATGACTCCCGTAGAGGGGCTTCAGACTCGCAGACGTTCACAGCATACAATGGCACTAATGCTGCAATCGATCTGTAATATTCTGCACACTAACAGATAATTGAAGTCTATGGGTAACTCAAGTCGTAATGTTAAAGCTAGATCTTCTTTTTTGTTATTTTGAAACTTACGCTCACGACGCAGCAAATCTTTTTACTCACCCGAATAATGCACATGTGGGAAGCGATTGTTGAAACTGAGAGACACTAGTCCCCATCTTCTCATTCTTTGTCAACTTGGCTAGTATCGTTTCACTAGATTTTACTCATATCTAATGCAGGATTTTTATTGAAAGAATGTGCTGGAAATGCAAAGTTCAAGCACGTAAAGCTCGCATTTCGAACATGAAACCAGAACTTCAATAGGAACAATCTACTGCCTCTGGCAACAAAGCTTCTGGAATCTTATCTAAATATTGCAGCTGCTGTGAGACGAATGATAGTTTTTGGCCTGCTCGTGAAGTTCCTTGGGTGCAGAAATGTGTTTAGGAATGCAGTACGCAAAATTCCAGACGGATCTGAAGATCAGATTCCCTATGTTGATCACAGTGGTCGGTGAACAGGCATCCAAACAGCAACAGTAAACTGTGCCCGGTACATGAGATTTTATTTTCACATCAGCGACCTTTGGTCCTTCCTTTTCCCAATAAAAGAATTTATCACTTCCTTTTCCCAATAAAAGAATTTATCAATCAATCGATTTGCACCGCAACAGCTCAAGTGCATGTGATCTCAGCAGAAGTGTCACGTATCACACCATTAGAACAGCAGCACATGTGTAAAAAATAGCAAGAACTACGAAGCGGCATGGTGTCGGTTACTGACCCTCCCCAGTAACACAGCCCAACCACTGACAGTCTCAGAATATTAATACTTACGCAACGCGAGAGTCTTTCCTTTCATTCAAATCGTAAAGCATTGATAAAATTTCGTGCGCAATGTTTTTGCTCAGGTAACACGTCCTTGACCTCTTGGACACATATTGGACTATACCACCCAGTCCACTGCAGCTAGTGTGGAATAACCTTTGTTACTAAGGTCTGATGAAATCGCCGTTACACTATACTATCTTCTATCATGAAAAATTAGAGAATGAACAACCAAAAGAGTTTCATTCATCATTTATAACTGCATAAATTAAGAAAATTTGGCGTACGTTAGAAATGATGGTGCATTATGGTTGGGTGCTCGCGACCCCTGCACTGAATTCTGCAATCAAATCTGCTCCTTTTCCTTTTATACATTTTATGTTACAGTAAATAGTGCAGACTTTCAGCTTTGAGGGCATGTGCCACTCTAATGTGCACTCTGGAAGTGTGTTTGAAGCAAGCAACAGAAGTTGTGCAAGGCAAATAAAAACAAGACATGAAAGAGGTTCACTTTTGCTTTATTTTGCATGAAATGTCGCAGCTCAGTGCATCAGTACGGTTCTATAAAACATAAGGAACACAGTGCTCATTTTAATAGCATCTCTAATGCTTCTCATCAATGCCTCTTATTTCCGACTTTACTTTTTGTTAACACTTCCTTCTCTTGTTTTTGGAACTGCATGGCATTATCACATTTGTGCCGTCTAAACTTCAAGCATGATGTTTACGTCCCAGCTTTATTAGAAATTGCTTAGCTGGAAGAACTGCCTCAATGGCTGTTACCCATATTGCAGTGAATAGAAAAGCTATGCATTTCCCAGACCATAAAATTGAATATAGTTATGCTCAAAGGAATAAACTTACTTCTAAAGCAAGTTCTAACCCTTGTATAACGTAAATTACGTGAATAGTTTCGCAGGTGAACTGTGTTACAATCTACAACTGGCAAAACCTTTTTCAAAGTAGTTTTTCTGCCTAGCGGATGAGTACACAAAGAACTGAACGGGCGATGTTGTGGTAGCCAAACGAAGAAGAGACTTGACAGTAATGGTCTTGGTGATCGTGGAGATGAGACTGTGAAACAAAGCAAGACGTTTTTGTTTTTGCCCTTGTTTGAGGTAAAGAAAACATAGGTGTCCAGCTTCAAGATGCTTGAGAATGAAAGTTGTGCATTTGTTAGATAACAGAACAGCCAGCCATGCGTGTAGTATAATTTGCATGCTCAGTGCTGCTAGTTTCTAGTTGGCATGCTGCATTTGTTGAGAAATGGTACAGCTGTAAGGATGGAATTAGGCACAGGCAGGTAGATGAAGCAATGAGAACGGTAAAAGTGCTAACTTTCAATTGGACAAGCCTACACCTTTCAAAACGCAGCTATCGCTAGGAAACTCCTATCCAAATAAGTCAGAGTTTATAAATTCTTTTCTTAGAAACTACTGCCCAATTTTGATTAAATTTGATTAAGAGAATAAACTAAGATGCAGTTAGCACAGCAATCACCACTAAAAAAAGAAAACAGTTCAAAATAGAAAAATGTTGGTAGATAGCTCGTCCATATGACTTTCAACTCTGCTCTTCAAAAATAAGTTTTGTGAATCGCAGCTATTAATACACTAAAAAAGGAGCAGAATTAGAGTATCCCAAGCTGCTTTGACACATGAATCATCCTAATTTGTGCAAGTTTCACAAAAATCTTCATAAAACAGTAGCATTATCTGTCTGCTTTACATGCTCCCCTTTGGATGCTTTAGATCTTTTCCACTAAAGATGCTCTAACAAATGTAGCTTACGTAAGTGTGGTACTGGCCTTTTGCCATGAATTCGGGAATTGACAATTAAGTGCATCAATCTTCTTGGCTTACCAAATTATAGCAGTGTTCATAAAAATTCCAAGCCCTAAACAAACATCCTGCTTCCTAGTGTCACTAGAAGTTAATGCACTTGTATTTTCTCCACACATTACTTGAGTGGCTGTCCGATAAAATCATTTCTGCATTTCGTGTGTACACGAGTAAACGAAAATCAACACTTGTGCAAAACAAAGGCTTCTCAATCAAGCACAGAGTTAGCAGTTACATTAACTGCTAGGCTAGTATGAGGGACACCACAGTGGATTACAATTATGAGGGACACCACAGTGGAGGGCTCCAGAAATTTCGCCCACTAGGATTTTTTAACACGCGCCTAAATCTAAGCACATGGGCATCAAGAATTTTGTCTCCATCGTAATGCAGCCACCACTGCCACCTTTCGATTAGCAATAGAGCACTCTAACCACTAGACTACCACGAAGGGTCGCAGAGAGTTGGTAGATGAATGTATATGTTAACATACAAAAGCATCTATAGAGTGGTCAGCCAAGTAAGTTCACAAAACCCACCAGCGAACATACTGCTGCAAACAGCATGAACAATGTCTCACATGGTAAAACTTACTCAAGACACTACTTTCACGTTGCATATCTAGAGAACCACAGCCCTTTGCACAAGTTTTTTAGATTTTTGGAACATGCGTTTTACTCAATTTACGAATTTTTATAAAGTAGTGAATTCTTCAGTGTTAGTGTACAAGTGCCTTGTTCACCATGGCACACAGTAGGATGGGTGTTCCATGTGTCAATGCAGTTTCCAAAGGCTACATTTCAACAATTATGTAGAGGCACACTTGGCTAGTGCACTAGGTTGCAAGTGAAAAGTACCATGTTCAAAATAAACTACAGTGCTTCCCTTTCCTGAAACATTTGAGCACAGCTCATTTCATTGTAGTTAAATCCGCTTACAATGAACCTCCATATAACAAATTATTCGATATAACAAAGTTTTCCTCTTCCTCGCTGTTGCTCCACAGAAGCACACGTATTTGCGACCTCTGCGTAACAATGTAACAGCGAGAGACAACCTTGATATAACGAATTTTCCCCACAGACAGTCTAGAAATTTTGCCCCGGATTTTGTCATTTTGGTACGAGCATGCATCTTTCGCAAGTACCCCGCCGCTGACAAAGTGCAAAGCAGCGGCGGCGTGCATGGCGCGTTCGCGGTCCCAGGGACAACCAGGCGAGAACGAGCGCTCGTTGTTGCACGCGGGTGAGCATGCGGGCCACGGGCCGGTGTTGCCACCGTTCTTGTTGCCGCGGGCGCATGCGTGGATGTGCTCCCCCTCCCTCCAAACCAAAAACGAAAAAAGATGAAAAAAACAAAGAAAAAAACTTTTGCGTTGGCAGTACCACAGATTTAGTTAGCATCACGTATGTGGGGCCACACTGCATATGGAGGGCACATTACCAAATAGTTCTCCGCTGTATCCGTGTTGTTCCCTCTTCGTTTTTGCTGCCATGCGCGCGTGCATTGCGCGCATGGTGTGGCCCCCGACAACATTGAGCTTTGACTCTTCTTTTTTTTTTAAATGCGGGCAACCGTGTCGACACTACCGAGGGGATGTCAGATTAGGCGTTGATGGAAACTCTTCGAGACCACAGCGACAACAACGGATCTTTGGATTTCGACTCGACAGGCGTTGGCGTTTACGCCGCTAGTTTGAGGAACCGTAGCCTTCGCGATTAGCTGATTAGCTCTGGCAACACAAAGGCGCATTGAATGCAATTCAATGAATGCGAGAGCAACAAATTCTAATGTTATACGAAGTACAGCTGGCAACCAACTCTTTTGGATCCGATATCGCAGAACTCCTACAAATGCTGGTGTGTGCAAATACAAACGCTCCCAGGAGAAGCGGTCTTTTCACGCAGTCTCTTCGCGTTGAAAGTGCACTGATACTTGCCAAGATAGCACGCGCGCCAGCGATCGCGACCTCCCTTAAAATCAAAGTTTATTGTTGCTACTCGAGCGACAGTCCCCCCCCCCCCCCCCCCCCCTCGCCTCCCCGAGTTTTTCACGATGCTCAATCAAGATGGATGGTTTCCTTTTTGTTCGAGCCTTTGACGGCAGTTCTAACACGCGAGAAATGTTATCATATGCCCCTTCCAGGCGATAGAGAAGGGCTGACTTCTTTTATCTCGGCTTCAGCAGCTCTCGCACACCTTTACTTGCTCGTGGAAGTTTTGGTGCGCGGGGCATGTTATCAATTTACACTTGTTACGGAACATGGCGGCGACGGCAGAAACCTTTGCTATCGCAATAATAACGCAATTATTTACTGCTAGATTTGTATTTTGGGTAAGCTCTGCCTTCAGTCCCCCTTTTGTTTAATTTGTGCATTTATTTTGGGAATTTTCCTACCAAACCAGCACATTACAAAATCCTCTTTAAAAAAAGTTTTTCAAAAATTTACCAATTTCGTTATATCCAGGTTTAACTGTAGCATCACTAGGAAGCTGCCTCAGCAGTGACAACATGCAGCAATTGCTTAGAAGCAGGCGAACTGTTTAAGAACAGCAATAGACGTAAAACCAATGTTCGTGCCGTGCAGTTTCAGCAGATATATCAATGGAACAGTACAGTCATCACTCTACATGCAATGGGTGCAACTTGGGCATTCCTCCTTCGTGACCTAAGGGCTGCCGTGTGTTGTGGGACAAGTGCAGAGCTGTGGCTCACCAAGGGTGTTGAGGAACTTTCTCACAACTGGGAGAATGACTTTTCTTGAAGCTTGCGTGTTGCCCTGGGCAAACGTGATGAGGTGGTCTGTTGACATGTGTGAAACCTGAAGATCCAGGGACGGGTCTCCCACAGCCAACAGTGTCGAAGTCAACTGCAGTATGCAGGAAAGTAGTATGCCATTTAATTAGAGCAAGTATGCTTTTATGCAAGACGTAGCTAATAAGGTTAATAGATAGGCTAGGATCAATGAAGTCTGAAATCGGTTGTGAACGTTTCAAAATGTGGTAAACGGAAATAAATAGAACAAGTGCTTCTGACAAGATTGTTTTCATTCTTGTATTCTGCACCCCCTAGTCATCTCTCGATAAAAGAAACTCCTCTTAAATAGAACATATTTTTCTGGTTCCTTCAAGTTACAATTATTGAGGGTATATAGTATAGAGAACTTTAATATTGCGTAATGCTCAAGTTAGTGCCGATCTGACAAGTCACTAACGCTAAGACAGCATAAACACTATGGAGCACAATCTAGCCTTCTGAAGTATGGAGCTTTTGATGTGGCGTTTCAGCATACACTCAAACCTTGATATAACGAACCCAGTTATAACGAAATATCAGTTATAACTAAATAAATGAAGAATTGTCTTTGAATAGATACAGTGTTCAGAATATACCCTTATAACGAATTTTCGGATATAACAAACTTATTTTTGTGTAAGGTGCAACTTTGTTGTAGCGAGGTGAGATTGTAATGCAAAACAGTGTATGCTAATAGCTGGGAGTACAAAGGAATCTAAACTGGTTTGCAATATATTGTAAGCAGCGTTTGTGATGCTAGGATGGCTATAGTCTCCAAGCTACACTAACATTACGTAGTGAGATTTGTTATCGTGGTCAGAGACATTGCTGATTAGGCTCAATCCAAGTCAGATGCAGTTGCGTGGTCACTTTCAATTGCAATCAGTCCCAGGTGGGAGCACAACGATCATGACATGGCTCCACTTGCCAGCATGAGAGAGAGAGAAAAAAAAAGAAAGGCATTGTATAACTTAATGATTTGTTTTTACCAGATGGCATTAAGTTCTCAACTTCTCATTCACTGTACAGTAGAAGTCTATTTTTTTAGGACTCTTTGAACACAATCATCTTCCATGAAAATGAATTTATACTTCTTACTGTCTGTCTCAAATCAGTCGAATCACATCTCAAACAGCTCGAAAACCCTTTTGGAACACTTTATTCACCTCAGGGTTTGTAACGCAAAAGGAGGTGGCAGGTGAGTGCACGTAATGATTCCATTTTGGGTCAGCTTCACTACAATGCAAGAATGAGTACATACAGTGAAATTTCACTTGAACAAACTTCAAGGTACCCAAGAAAAAAATTCATCAAACTTGAAGTTGCTGATCTGAAATAGCTAAGTTGAGGCTGGTTATCTAGAGCTGAAGAAAACATCAGCATATGAAATAAATGTATAGCCCTTTTATTTGCAATGCTGCTTGTTTGAATGTGTATTTTTACATAATATTTATACAATGTTTTGAAGAATGCAGTAATATTTTGCTTTACTTTGTACATAGGACTGCAGACGTGATGAACTGAATTACTGGTGTCCCAGCTCTCATGAACCTTTCTAGCCCAACACTGCACTGGGAAGCGAAAAACTTCACTTTTCCAAGCACAGGGAAAAGTGAAGTTCTTTTGATGTACTACAGGAAAAAGTTCTTTTCCTCCCTTTCTTCTTTTTCCAGAGGTAGAACACTTGCTGCAATCTTTTCTGATGTCTAAACACGAAATTCATAGGTGGCATAGTCCTCAAAATCCAATGAGCAGTCTGTACCCCATATTTCAGACGATTTCTGATGAACATGATATGAGATGCATTGGCTCGTGACACACAATACGCACGTAGAACTGAAATGCACACTGCACTCATTACGTTGAACTGAAATGTGTCAGCAGTGGGTGTAATGGCACTCCGGCAGGGGACTTGGAAAATGTTCGTCAACTGAATGGTTCAATGAACCGATGTTCCCTCAAGTGGTAGTATTTTACTGCAAGATTTTTAAATGCGAAGAATTTTTTTGCGAACTTCGACGACTTTGAGCGTATTTATCTATTTGTCTGTCTGTCTGTCTATCTGTCAATCTATCTATCCATAACATGAAAATCATACATGTATGTCATGAATGTCATGATTTACATTTCATGGTCCTGCAGCTCTTGTGGTGGTTTTGTTCACATGGCATGTTGCAAAACTGGTGTGGTATGACATGATTGCATGGCAAACACAAGCAACAGACTCTAACATGAAAATCATGACACGCATGTCATGTAATAACATGACTACATGCCACGCTTATGATGCGCTCGCGGCCGTTTCGCTAGTGTCACATATACCAAATTTGGTATTACGGTAAGTGAATGGATGACAAAGGTATGTGACTGGTGCAAACATGATAATCACGACATGCATGTCATGTGAAAACATGACTACATACTACAGTCAAGGCGCCAATACATTTCGACTTGACGCAGTGTGCGGTTGCCGTCAGGCCGCGCAGACAGACGCTGGTTGCGCCGATCGCGTATGGCGTCAGACTATCGAGTGCTCGCGTTTTGCTAACGTAGCATCGCTATGCCCAGCGTCCGCGCATGTCAACGCTACATAGGAGTATTTTTGGGCCCTTCATGATGCACTCACGACCGTTTTGCAAGCTCCATATATACCAAATTTGGTGTTAAGTGACGTCAATGGATGACAAAATATGTGACTGGTGCAAACATGATAATACCTGACACGCTTGCCATGTAAGAACATGACAACATACCACGCTCATAGCGTGCTCGCGGCTGTTTCACTAGCTTCACATATACTAAATTTGGTATCACGTGACATGAATAGGTGAAGGTAAACGACATAACCAAACATGATAATCATGACACGGAAGTCATGTACAACATCATTTTACCTCCACCTCGTAACGTTGTGCTGATTTTAATGTGACATATCAACCTTTCTTACTCGTACTTCGCATATCATCGATTCCCACGGTACGTGGGATCTGCCAATTTTTTCACTACACAAAACAGACCTTTAGCAACAGCTTTGGCTGCAACAAGACTGGTGCACAAAAGCCCTGGTTCAAAGCTGCAAGGTAACGTGGAAACTTCAATTGGTGCCATTTATGAACAACAATCGCGGTGAGATAGTATGCAAAAAGTCAAAGGACTAAAGGCTTCGGATGCTTAGGTTTTATACATCCTTAGACACTCGCTCTATGAAGTAAGTGCATGATAGCGTCTCAAAACCATCTTAGAAATCGGGCATGCCTGAAAAATCGGTCATTAGCCTTTTATTGTAGATATGTATAACATTTGTGTACACGCCTTAGTAATGAACGTCGCCTACTACAATACGCTACATCGTAGCCAGGTAGATTACCTGCTGCTTGAGCACAATGTCCGAAGAGAAGACTGCTAGCTGCCTTTGTACTGAATTGCTTTTCTCTTCAACAGCTATGGTGAGGATGATGAGGGCACTGTAGCCATGCGTCTTGCAGAACTTGCCCAGCTCTGCCTCCATCGTGTTCTCCTGACAGATGTTCTACAGAAGAGAAAGAGAGAAGGGGATGAAAGCAAACATGTCTGACAACTCTGTCATAAAAATTGGCTTAGAAGCATGAGAAGTTACCCACTAACTACTACAGCGTAAATGGATGAAAATAGTGGTAGTTTATGGGTGACATGGGTTTTTAGAAACAACTGCAGCAAAGCAACACTTTTTCCGAGATCATTGTGGGCGAGTTGTATACGCCACTGAAGCATTCTTGGCAAGGGTTGGTGATGATCAGGCTGTTTTATAATCAGTCTTCAAACAACACCTAAGCAGACAATGCATGAATCTGGTGGTTGTCACCTTTACACAAGGCCTGGCAAATAGCCTCCAAGATAGACAGTAGGAGCCTCCTCATCTCAGAGGTCGTGCTTAATTTCAGCGTAAGCAGCAATGACAGCATTTTCTTCACTTTAGATAACAAAAATGGCTATCTTCACAAACTCTCTTAACACGGCATATTCTCACCAGCGAATAAGTATGAGTTATGATGGCTTAAAGCAAAAACTTAAAAAAAAAAAAAGAAATTACAAGATATGAGCTGGAACTATGCCTCCATCACGTGCCATGGAATGCAAGTTCGCTGCCCGGAAAAGATTCGAGTCACATACCTTCAATTCTCCAGGCACCGATGATATCGCTATGCGCTTTGATGATGAACAGACAGCCTTGAGGTCCTTGCGAAGCAGCTCATCCAAAGTCAGGCCTGCAAACATTTCAAACAAGAGACTTTAACCTGAAAGCACATTAAAGAGAGCCAAGAAGAACGGCACATGCCGAAAGAGATTTTTTAGAACCAATCCAAAACTAAAATAATCAGACGAGCATTGACGCTGCTCCAACTGCAAAAAAATAATCTTCGAAAAATTGCAAGAAAAAAAACATTCTGGGAAGTCCACATTGGTTTCTGTAACAAGTAGAAACACAGGTCTGGCCATCATAATGGCGTAAAGATATTTTGACTGGCCGAAAACAAAAGTTCATAACTACTACAGATATCCAGCAACTCACCTTGAACATTGGACTTTGCTCTACACAGTGGCTTGAACACTTCCTCCTTGCCCAGGTCGGGAAGTAATGCCTGCAACTTAGACACCATTTCCAAGTCCTTCACTGTCGTTTTCCGTGCCGACTCTGAGAGGCACACTGTGTCAAGGAGTATAGTGCCTGAAAAGGACACACACATTTCAAAGGAATGTTATATAAACAGCCTTCAGTGCTGAACAGGCATTGTTCTAAGCATTAATAAACATACACCCTATGCAAGATAAGCTGACCAACTGAAATTCACAATATAGAGTCCCTAATATAACATGCAGTTTTTCTTTGCTATTAATTTATAAAGGTACATGATTATCAATATCTTAGGTACAAATTAAATATCATACTGTGAATACCAAATTGAAAGGAAAAAATAATAGACTGATGTATTTATTTGCAGGTTTTGGAACAGTGTTAGTATGATGCCCAAGGTGAAATTTAGTCCAAGTATGTCACTACAGTAAATGCTGAGCTGAGCACCAGTAATTCAACAAATTGATAAGTAATTCACATTAAATGTGTGGTCTCAGCAACCTGTGCATCACTGTACTGCATCAAAGTGCCATTAGCACTGATGTGCTCGGACAGCCCATATCCAGTCCAGCAATAAGCTCGAAGGTTAGTTCAGTGCAGTGCTCCAAATATAACCGTAAGAGAGCAAGGGCAATGCTGCATTAGCATCCAACAAAAACAAAACAGTTGATTACAGTCTGCTAGGACGTTTTAAAAAATACCAAGAGCATAGAATTTCTCTCTTTCTCCTACATGTAGAGCCACTTGCAACCTGGCATTCTGAAGCCATGCTTTTGTCTAAAACCCTTTCTAATGGTTTTCTTCAGTGTGATAAGTACCATTATCTGGCTGTGAACAAGTACACTGAACTGCAGTATATGAACCACTGCATTTATAGTAACATAGCACAATGACAACTATAATGAATTTAAATAGCAACTAGGAAGAGCACATAAAATGCCCATGGCTCTAAGTTCCAAACACCAAATCAAACACGGCGCTGGCCCATCACCCCCATGGTCTGTAAAAGTCCCACGTTTCACTTGGCAGCAAATTTCAGTGACCTACCACAGTGTGCTAAAATGTTATCAAGAACAGAAAATGGTCCTCCCCCCGCCCCCCTTCTCGAGGGGCTTGTTTCTTTGTTAGACATTGTGAAACCAATCAAACAAACCAAGACCAAGGAAAGCATAGGCAGTAATATTTGCAGTCTTCAACTGTAGTATGGATAACTAAAACATAAATCAACATGAATTACAGTGTAGAAATGGTTATCCTTTCTGTCGGTGGGATCCGAACCCACAACCATCGGTTTATGGGCCCGATGCCCTACCAATTGAGCCACGACGAAATACATCAAAATAAGTGTGACACACCACGCTGAGGCGCCTCGCAACTGAGATTTCTGCATGGGGAAAACTAGTGGGCAGGCACAGCTAATTTAACTTCATTCACCGACTCTAATCCTCTGTTAACCCCAAAAGAGCACTTTTATTTTAGCTGGTCTTCTTTTTGCTGCCTCCCCCAAGTTCTTTTATAGCAAAATAAGCATGCACTGCGCCCTTACAGAAATGGGTACTCCTTGCAACTGAGGCAGGCTTTAACATTAACACTGCATTGTCATCCTGTGACAAAAAACTTATTTTTTGTGCTAAATTCTGCTGGCAGCAAAAATTTTAGCATGCATTGGTAGATTAGAAAGAAACTAACTCAAATAAATGCATCATCAACTGCACTTACGTCATTATATATCTGTTATCAATAAATAAATATATCAGAAACTTTATCATTAGCAGTATTTACAATTTTCACATATGTGCATACCCACACTTCTTTCCAGTGTATTTTGATAATAACCTTAATTAGCTTGCCAAATTAAGCACCTGCACTTACTAGTACACTCAGTATTAGTCGTAACAGCAAATCGTGGGCCAAATTAGTACCTAAAATACTACGCATGGCTTGAACTCCCCTATGTTTTCGCAAGTGAACACTGTTTTCTCATCTCGGATCGTCCACAAACAAGGGAACGGTGTTGATAAAACTACGGACAAGTGGAAGGAATCGACTCTTTCATGCAGTTTGTTCAGGAGCATTATCTGGTGATGCAAGTGACACCTATATGAGTAGTATCACTTTATATGTTTTTTCAAATTCAAAACGATTAGAGGTACCACTCACAACAGAAACAACGTCAACTTGAAAGCCAACGAATCTTCTCGCCTAAACTGGCACACTAAACACTGCGAAGTTCTGTGCCCACGCACAAACTATGGTCTTCAAACACTTTGTCTTCCCTCAACATAAACAATGCAATAATTGTTGTGGTTTAACGTCCCAAAGCCACCATATGATTACCAGAAACGTCGTAGTGGAGGGCTCCGGAAATTTTGACTATTTAGAGTTCTTTAATGTGCACTAAAATCCAAGCACACAGACCTCAAGCATTTTCAACGCCACCAAAAATGCGGCCGCGGTGACCGTAATTCGATGCCGCGAACGACGGGTCAGCAGGCGATCACCATAATCAATGAACCACTGTGGCTGGTTATATAAAACGACGTGATTAGAACATATGCTTTGTTTTTAAAAACACAATACTTCAACTGTTATCGTGAATGTAAACTTTTTTATGTCTTCTAAAAAAATACTTTCACTGCAATTTCCAATTGCCAAATTCTTGTTTCTTTTGTTTGTTTTACTGAACGTATTTCTTTTTCTTTTAATGTTACTACAAGTGTATGCATTGAGCATTTTTGCTATGATGCTGCTTATGTTAAACAGGAACGTGTGACCAGCCAATCTGCCATCCTGTTGTGTACTTGTGGTAATAGTACATTCAAATAAAAAACTTCAAATTATCAGCACAATGATATATATGTATAGTAAGCAAAAGCATACAGTGAGAAACAAAGGTGCTAAGCAAGCAAGCAAAACAGTGCGCTTACCGTAAAGCAATAGAGCAACCTGAGGGGCTAACAGATCTGGCTTAGAGTGGAAAACTTTCTCGGCTACCAGAGTGCAGCATGACCCAACCATTTCAACTGTCTTGTCACACCTGCAAGACAAATACATAACAATGTGCATATTCAATTAAACAGATGTACCCATGGTACACAACATCATGCAGTGCATCAGGGATTTTCCAAATTGCACATATTTTTTTCATTTGCTTTCACAAGTTTGGCTTCTCTACTTTCACAACAAAAATAAACTGAAGGTTGTAATTAAACTGGAAGTAGGTTAAAACCACTTTTAAAAAGCACAAGGTGCCAACAAAAAATTAAATAGTGCTCATTGTCTGGAGTCCCCTGGAACTTGTCACCTGGCCCCGCCGCGGTGGTCTAGTGGCTAAGGTACTCAGCTGCTGACCCGCAGGTGGCGGGATCGAATCCCGGCTGTGGCGGCTGCATTTTTGATGGAGGCGGAAATGTTGTAGGCCCGTGTACTCAGATTTGGGTGCACGTTAAAGAACCCCTGGTGGTCAAAATTTCCGGAGCCCTCCACTACGGAATCTCTCATAATCATATGGTGGTTTTGGGACGTTAAATTCCACATATCAATCAATTGTCACCTGGCAGTTTGCCATTGTATTTCTCATGAAGAGTTCACTAAAGCCACATGTTCAAATTAATAATGATTGCCAAACTCTCATGATAAATGAAAACATTGAAGAAAACATATCTTCACCACATAGATGAGCTTTGTCTTATCCCTTTAAAATGCGTTTTTCTCGAGATTCATTTTCATGCAACTTCTTGAGATTAGACATGTTTTTGGTACTTCTGATAGCCATATCGGGATGAAATTTTACCCAGATATTCCTTAACATGTGAAGGGTGCAAGTATCTCCTTTCAATTGCCTCCTGAAACTTCTAGATTTTGCGTGATACATGCACACATACAAATGCACACAAGTATCTAAAGTATGGCTACCGCACGCCAACCCTGAAAAATACTTCTGGCTGCAGTACTGCCACATACCGCTAATGCAATCCAAATTATCTGTTCCTGTCTGGGAAGGAAAACACTACATGCGCCATTACCATCCACTACTGCCTCACAGGTAGTGCTGAAGTGTGCCTACAGCACAGCCAGAAATCGAGCCAATAAAATCACATGGGCATGGCATTTTTTCTTACTTGACGTTCCAGCGAGTTTAGCAATAGAGCTAGCAAAAACTACAGGTTTCAATAAATTCAGTCAGATGGGAAGATACAGGCAGCTCAGGTTTCCAACATTCATCAAGTGTGTCATTATCTATCAAAGTATCTAAACACGGTGGCCATGATGTGTTTCTGGCTTTCATTGTTGCATCTGGCTTTTGCAGTACCAAAAATACAGCCTCTGAGATTGGTAGTCAGTGTCACATAAGAGTTTATTACACACAGCCTGCCTAGGCAGGCAGCAAAATGATACATTCCTCAAAAACAAATAAAGATGTATGCCATCTCACAATGACTGACTAGTAGTGACGGATATAAGTAGAGGACAGACAGGCTATGTCATCAGGCTTTAGTACTAAAATGTTCAGCTCGATTCGTATTACGGGTCCTACATTAACCTTAATATCTGTATCACTAATCCCCTCTGGAATAGCATAGATATTTTCTCAAGTACTATTTATCGATGCCACTCACTTATCATTAACATTTGGTGTCCCTTTTAGAATTTTCCGCATGCCAGTTGACACAGTTAGATGCTCAACATGCTCTTCATACAATTTTGACACAACGATATCAGCAGTTCCCTCTTTGCTTGTTGATAGTGTTGCTGATAGATGGCACGCTATCAGTACTCCACGTTATGCTTAGTGATTTTAACTTTGTCAATGTGGAAAGCATAAATTTATATCTTCTTGTCCTTCATTAGCTTCAGAAGAACTACAATGATGCATTATTACAATGTGCAACATTCAAATATGTGAAGCACTATGATAAGCCAGTCCCAAGCAACAAGTGATAAAATGAAGTACTATCAAGCAATCAAGCAAAGAGAACTGTTCTGTTAGACTGGCCATTGCAGTAACTATCAAATCACTCTGGTAAAATGCCAAATCGTGTTTTCCATTATACATTAACCGGCAGCCACATACAGATTTATACAAAAAAAGTAGTACATCAAACTGCAATGTTATGTCCTATGGGGAAAGTGAGCAGCAACCATTTTTCAAACTGCATCAGAAACACTAACAGTGCATCTAATGTAACCCTACTCTTTAACAATATTATGTAGTCGTGCTCTTACAAAGGTCAGAGCAAAAATGGTCCTTCGAACAAATTAACAGCGCCATAAATAATAGAGAATTGAGGAAGTGGGGATCCTGACCCGTTTTGTGTTTAGGTGACACCTTGCTAGTGTCCTCCCTTGAAATTTAATTTTCGAATGTCATATTTCAATTTATTGACAGTTAAGGATGGCACATTCTTTAAAGCCAACACTGATGTCCGAAACTCTTCCAATGAGCAGAAATTAAGTACAAAAGAGAAAACTGTTAGTGGTTTCAAAAAGCACTGTCAGATACAAGCTTTCTCAAATACTATGGGTTATTTCTGACGTGCCACAAATGTGTATATGTCGGGCTTTGAAATGTAAAGTAAATGAATAATCACTAATCATCTACTGTTACTTACACTGAAGATTTGTTGCAAGTCACTCACAATAAAGTATGAACAAGTCACTCACGACAAAGTATGAACCCAACTGCTCGGCTATGTGCGTGCTATCTTTAAAGATCACTAGCTTACATAAAAACGCCAAGACACTAAATTCACCGTCGAACACACACTTATACTGCTCAGTGCTGTTTTCTCTGACCTGACACCGATGCCGCTGCATTATACAAAATTTTTTTTTTGATGCATGATTTTAATATAACTAATACTTAAACTATTTGTGAAACAGAATAGCTGCCCACTACAGGATGTGCACACAACCCCTTTTCACCCCTCCCCTCACTTGTGATTTCTTTATACTTACACCACTGCAAATTAAAATGTCAAAACTTATCTCTGCTCCTTCACTGCCGCCAAAGGCATTGCGATGACCTACAGCAAGCAAAGGCGAAATAGGAATGACACACATAGCTTTGGGTGCTGGGGCCTTGAAAGAGAACAAGAAAGATGCCAACCTGTGAGAAGTCTCCCAACCTGTGGTGGTCAATGATCTCCTGGACTGCAGGTTGCAAGTCAGCATCTTCTTTGGGCAAAAGATTGTGATCCACAAGGGTCAGTGACAACTTTGACTGAGAGTGAAGTTTCTGTAGATAAAAAAATAAATGACTATGTAAACTATGTAAAACAACCTTTTTTTTTCCGTTACCAAGTCGACACTGTTGAAGCACTTCACAAACCATTTCATGAGAACCCTTCTGCTATAATTATATTAGGAGAGTCACCTTTCAAATACTGTAAAGACGCAACAAGAAAGACAGCCTTCTCTTGTGCTAGGTTGTAAGGGACGTCATTCAACTTTATTTGTCAGCTGGAGCGAGACGTGCCCATATGACTAGCAATGTAAAGGGGGTTGAGTGATTGCTGGAATCAAAATGTATATCTCGTTGGATTTTCTTGATTACAAATGCACATTTAGCACGCCATAGCAAATTTACAGGCAAGCATGGCAAACGTTATTACAGAACATTAGTTTTTTTAGCGATAAAAAAACTTAAAAATTCAGAAAATCGATGCTGCAGTATCGGTCATACTATGTCATACACATCATACAGAAATGAAAGATTATGAACCTTAACAATAAATTTTTTTTATTGTTATGATTTCATACCATTACTTTATTTTTGCTTTATCTGTTTCGTTTGCTCACTTTGTAACCCTCGGTTATGCTCGGACGAATGCATTATCCTTAAAATAAGCAAATTTAATGCGACAGTATCACTTTAGCTTGAGACGTTCCTCGAATCAACGCAAATACGACACTGCCGAGACTGTATGCAGGAGCCGTGCAAAGCACCGCACAAAAGACCAAGCTCAATTGTTTACGCTTTCTGGCAGAGAGCCAGTCGCGCGGTATGCGTGCAGATATGGCTTTACGATGTGGAAATGGCACAACGGAAACGGCGAACGACGCTCACCACGCGAAGCAGTGGGCGTGACGGCCGGCATTTTTACCTTTAGGTCAATTTCATCCGGCATACAGCGAGTCCAGTGGGATGTCCACTGTTCGAAGAAATACGTGATCTCCGTCCGCAGTTGAGTCTTTCCTCGCGATGTTAAGCACGGGTAAGGACGAGTAACGTCGCGACCGGTTTGAAGCTGAAAGTGGAAAACGGGTTTTCGTTCACGCATATGAGAGCGCGACTTGTCACGAACCGGAAGATTCCACGGGTACGCCCACACGGATGACCGCAATCAAATTGAGTTAGACGTGGATCTGTGAAAACAGAACGAGACACCGCTCACCTCGTGCAGCAGGTACGCCGTGACGATGGAGGCAACGGCGGAATCCAATCGCAGGCTTCGTTCCCCAGCACGACGTGAACTTTGGTGAAAGCGTCGAGTTTTTCTGGAGGCATAACGAAAGTGAACGTTAGTTCGCGACCGCTGAATAAGGTTATACGTTTCACTGCTATAAGCTCAGCACAAGGCAAAATTTTGAACTGAGTATCGACAGCTGGTTTCCGATGCAAAACAGCGAAGAGGCCGTGGGCAGTGGCCGCAGATCAAACTGGGACATCGCACAAGAAGCGACAAAGCCGCGGTCCCTAACTGCGCACATTCAATCGACAAACCGCAGGCTATACCGCATTTAGATTACATATGTCATCAATATATTGGGCCTAAAATGTCTAGGTAGCGCGACAAATAGCACGGAGACGCGTGCAACGCTAAATATCAGCCGCGAAACGTAAATACAGCTGATCAGGAAAGGACAATCAGTCGAAACCTAACATACCAAGTTGCGCTTGCTCTCCGAGAGAAATCGATCCATTCTGTGCGTCGCAGATGTCGAAATGTATCTAACGACAATGAGAAAACAAATAGAGAGCGTCTTAACGGGAGGCTAACATCGGCTGCATTGTAGCGAAAAGGTGAAGAGTCAACTCGCGGCCATTTCCGAATGGAGCAATGCAGCGCGAAGTGCGAAACACAAGAGGCCGCGCTAAATCCAACAGCAATTTGTAACGTTGCGCCACATCCCAGTTGGTAATATAAGGGTGTCTTTATAAATGATTGAATCCAAAACAAGCATGAAACTTCTACGAATTTTTGAAAATTTTACATGATTTGCGCTCTACAAGAACCTGAAGTATCCAAAGGAGGGAGTAGTAGCGAACTATTTTCTTACGCGACAACTTGGGGTATCGGTAGTCGCTTTGATTTGAAGCGGGCTGTGCTGCGACTTTTATTTAACTTTTACCTACTTTTACTGGCTTTACAATTTAACTTGAAAACACGGCCTGGGCTGATACCGACGTTTTAGCACGGCTCAAACTTGGCATAACAATGCAGTTTTCAAATATGTGCTTTTGTTTTGAAGGGAAAAGAAAACTTGCAGTCATGCTGTTTCTCGTGCATTGGTTTAATGGTCTGAATACTTCCTTAACCATTTATACCAACCTTTTAAGGTAATAATTGATATGTGGGTTTCAACGTCTCAAAACCACCGTACGATTACGAGAGACGCCGTAGTGGAGGGCTTCAAAAATTTCGACCACCTGGGGGGGGGGGGGGGGGGGGACGTGCACCCAAATCTGAGCACACGGGCCTACAGTATTTGTCTCCATCGGAAATGCAGCCGCCGCTGCCGCGATTCGATCCCGCGCTTTGCGGGTCAGCAGCCCAGTACCTTAGCCACTACACAATTGCGGCGGGGCAACCTTTGAAGGTAGTTCAGCTTCAGCAATTTCCAGACAACGGCGACAAAAGAATGAGACCGTGGTAAATGCGTTACAGTACATATTCCAGGTGCTATTCATAATTCCACTGTCGCCTGCCAATATAATAATAATTATCATTGCAAGTGCTTTACACACCAAAACCACCTCACAATTCATTGTTACCACACGAAAGGTACCAGAAAACTTAAGGCACGCATATAATAAGTGTGTCATATGTGTGCCATAGTTAAGTTTTCTCGTTCCTTCAGTGCTGTAACATAATGAATAAATTCAAACTTGTCCAGTTTACTGTACACAATACGATTGTGGGTCATACTATAGCGAGGGACTCCAAATTAACTTCAAAAAGCCCATGGTACTTTAAAGTGCACCTAAATGTAAGTACACGCGTGTTTTTATGCCTTTCCCCCCATTAAAATGTGCCTGCTGCCAGGCACCTGCCTCTGCACCAATATATTCGTTGTCTTCGGGCCACCTTATTACAGCTTTTGTACAGAGCAAAAAAGACAGGCAACACAAAAGTCCCGGTTTTATGGCATATTTATTGACATCAAAATAATAATGCAAGAATGTGAATGAGAAGAATGCGATGGGAATGAATGGCTGCAAAAGGCCGCCTTGTATCCACGGTGTCAGCCTATTCTGTCTTGGCTCTCAAGAAGGATGACGCTGTTTCCCCTGACAACCTGGAAAATTGCACAACACAGGTACCAGTCAGAATCAAAGCCCAAATTTCGCACACGTGGAATACTTACGACCATGCCGATGTTGTGTTTCTCTCCTCCCTTTGTTTCCTCAACAGCCTCGTCCAGGACAAGGTTCATGAACGGATCAAAGCCACGCAGGATCCCGGTGACGACACGACTTGCGTTGAGCCTCACTGCAGATAAGAAGCAAGCAACCTACTGACCACCAGCACCAAAAGGAAAGACAAGTGAACGAAACATGCATACCATTATTTACCTCATAAAAGAAGTACATATACACAAATTTGTAATATATATACTGCATTTGAACAACAACTTCCACTCAGTGAAGCTTCACTGTGAATCAAAAACAAGAAACCTGCTGTGTACCACTTCTCCCTAAAGAAAAAAAAGAAAGTCAATGAGAGTCAATATATACATTCAATTTACCTGATGAAGGCATTACACAATGGAGGCAAAAGGCTGAGACCGTGTGCTTGGATTTTGGCCCCAGAACAGTCAAACTTTATGGAGACCTCCACTACGATGTTCTCATAATCATATCACAGTTTTGGGGATGGTAAACTCCAACAAAAATATTATTGTTTAGCTTGTCATATGCAAAATGGTATAACTTTAACGAGGTTTCAGATTACCATAGAAGTAAATGGTAGCGGCTAAAGCTGTCGATGATCAAGAGTGTTTAATTACGGAGCTTTTTGCAGCTGGCAACACTTTGTTGGCGATTACAGGGAAACCTCAAACAAAGCATTAAATGTTCAGTGCAGAGATCAAGACTGCCAAATACAAACATGCACAGAAGGAAGAAATGCACCACATTGTTCATTTCATGGTTGCGTTTTTTTTTAGGTAATTTCGTTTCTTGCCTGTGGCTTTCACAATCTCATCCAATGTTTACAAGCTTAATCGTCATACATTTTTATTTTGCCCTCACGACGTGGTATTCTATTATTGTAAGCAGACAACTCAGTGCTGCAATAATTTTCAAAACAAATCATAGCAACCGAGAAAAATTAATGCATTTTGCTTCAGATTTCAACTATGGTTCAAATTATCAACACTCGCACACCGCAGGTTAGACAAGTGTAAATTTTGTGAGGTCGCGTTGTTCACATACCGAATGTGATAGCTAGAATGCAAGACTCGAGCACGATGTATGGAGGATGGATGCATCATAGGCTATACTTTTTCAGACGAACAGAGACTCATGCCACCTAGCCATAAAGTAAGTGCACTCACTATGTCAACATTTATTTTTATTTCATTTTCTGCAATACTGCATACCATCGTGCTCGAGTCCAAGCAGGAGAGGATACACATAAACAGACACAAACAACCAAAAGATCAAAACTTTGTGCGCAGCAAAGGTAAAGAAGATGTTAATTCCACTGTGTGATTGTTCGAGGGAACAATGAATATTATATAAATTAGTTCTTGCGAATATAGGTTTGATGCAATGGCTGTGCTTGTGACGTGAAGCTCGACCGAAGTGTTTCTGAAAGTAATCGTCAGAGTTTACTCTGAGCTTACCAAAATAAAGCGAAGATGAGAAATTCAAGCATATCCGTTTTCTTCTTTCAGATAGTGGCTCTAATTTTTAGGCCATCTGTAGCATATCTGATGGTGAATCAAGGCATCTGAAACGTTTGTGCACGTAGCAGATAGCTAATCTTTGAATTTTTTCGAGTTTTTTTTTTTTTTATGTCAACTTGGGTATAAGGATTCCAAACAGCACTGCCGTATTTCAAAAAGGGTCTAATTGTTTTGCCAGTCGTCAACCTAAGAGAAGGGGAGGATTCGCCCAACATGTGTTTCAGGAGGCCTAATTTTTTCCAAGCCTTAGAGCATATGTCATTTATATCGGTTGACCAGTTGAGACTGGAGGTTAAAGTGTTTTCTGAATATTTGCTTGCCTGAATTTCTTCAAGGGGGTTATTTGTATACAGTAGGTAGAAGAAAGTTGGTTCCATTTGTTAGTGATGCTCATGTGCACAGTTTCGGAAGGTTAACTACCATTTCCCATTGTTGCACCATTCTGACAATTTATTTTAAGTGCTGTTCAAGGTGATTTGATCATGTACAGAATTTACAGGCATAAATATGATGCAGTCATCTGCAAATAATTTCAAATGAACAGGCTGGTCCGCTATATGTTGAATGTCATTATTATAGACGATGAAAAGAAAAGGGCCCAGAACGGACCCCTGCAGAACTCCTGAGTGCACATCTAAAAACTGCGAACTGGATTTGTCAAAGTTAATGTATCATTTTCGATTGGAAGGGTATTAACCCAGTGAATAATGTGCGTGGTTAATCCAAGTGCTCTCATTTTTAATATTAACTTTGAATGCACTACTCTGCCAAATGCCTTGGAAAAGTCTAAAAGTATTAAATCAATCTGACCACCTTTGTCAAGAACCTTAGTAAATTCATGAACTGTTGTGAATAATAAATTAACTGTGGAGTATCTATGCCTGAAACTGTGTTGTGCATCAGTTATTACATGGTTTCATGCTAAAAATCATTTATGCATTTTGCTAATATATGCCCAAGCATCTTACACGAACAAAAAGAAAGATAGGACAGTAGTTATGTATCTGTAATGGAGAACCTTTTTTTTTAAAAAAAACGGAATTACTTTGCGACACGCCAGTCGTCAGGTACGTGGCCATATCTATAGACTTCTGAAAAAAATTATTGCTAAAAGAGGAGCAACTTGTACTGCATATCATCATCAGCCTCACTACGCCCACTGCAGGGAAAAGGCCTTTCCCATTACCAATTAACCCGGTCGCGTGCTTTCTGCTGCCACAGTATATCTGAGAACTTTTTAATCTCAACGGTCCACCTAACTTTCTGCCTTCCCTACATGCGTTTGCCTTCTCTGGGAATCCAGTCAGTTACCCTTAATCACCAGCGGTTATCCTGCCTACGTGCTACGTGCCTGGCTCGTGTCCATTTCTTCTTGATTTCAACTATGCTATCGGTAAGCCTGGTTTGTTCCTTAACCCACTCTGCTTTCTTCTTGTCTTTTAAGGTTACACCTATCATTATTAATTTAAGTGTGGTAGCTAGAATGCTACTAGGATTTCCTCTCCCCCCTAACGCCCCCTTCCCAATCCATACCTTAACACCCCTGTTAAGTTTGGCCTGGAAATTCGTCTGGGCAGACGCCATTGTGCATAAGCAGGTCTACTGAGGAGGCTCTCAATCCCTTCGGCGCCCAGTCTGCCAGACGCCGTCGAAGATTTGAGCAATTACCCAGACAATGTGGCAAGCAAAGGCGAGTTCCCGACTTTCAAATGCGGACCCTTTCGTCGTCCCTTCAGGCAGCAGTGGTGCCTGATGACCTCAGCGACACATCGGGAGACAGGGAAGCTGTT